TCGACATGGAACGCATTATCGTATTTTACATTAATTTATGTAAGAAAAATTGTTTCGCATAACAAGTGTTTCGCTTAACGAGTATAATTCAGGAACGAATTATGCTCGTTAAGCGAGGTTCCACTATATATATATATATATATATATATATATATATATATATATATATATATATATATATATATATATATATGAAGAGGTATGATATACATCTAATTTGTTTTATAGAGATCGTGTGTTTACCATGATTTGGAGATAAGGTGCGTACAGAAGAGGCATCGTTTGTTTGAAAACATCGTAGAATAGACAAGCAGATGAAGAGACAGTACGCATCGACTGAAAATGTAAATGAGTATACAGATAAATAAATAAATAAATAAGGGGATAGTAAACTTGGACTGTGTGGCGTCAGTGGTTTAGGCATTACGAGTCCGACTCGTAATCCCAACATACCGCGATCGAAACCCACTGCTGGCTGCGTGGATTTTTATCCTGGTATGGGGCGTCGCAGGTTGACCCAGCCTAAAATGGGTACCAGGATGTACGTCCTGGGGAAGTAAAGACGGCCGGCGTAATGCTGACCACATTGCCCACGTAGTGCCGATTAGTCTGTAAATATATTGGTGCTCTTCCCATGTACCCGATGAGCCTAAGGCGTGAAAAGGGATCTTTACTTTACTGTATATTATCATGGACTGTATACGAGTGTATGGATGAATGTGTTGGTAGAAATTTAGATGGGTCTGATGTATATTTTTACCCCCTTAGAACTGCAGGTTGCACTAGGTTGTTGTAACCCCCATGGGTGCCTTTATTATAACTTCTTTGGAGGTTGAACAGGGTATCTGGAAACTACCTCGTTGGTCTGCCATGTAGATCTGAGTTTCTTTTTTTTTAATTTTTTTTAAAAATCTGCTGGGTCATAGAAAACTATAAATTAAACATTCACATAAACTACTTCCACGTGTCGGTTCCGAGGCCTATTGTGGGGGGAGGGGGTGGGATGGCGAATAAAACCATTGCTCCCTAACAAGCATTTCAAAGGAACAAAAAAAAAAAAAAAACATGAACAAGAGGCAAATAAATATGAAGAGAATAAAGTGTTAGAAAAAAAGAAGAAAGAAAGAAAGACGGTCAAAAGCCTATAAGGCAGTAAGCTAATCTCTTTTCTAGAAGTCATCCTCCCCCCCCCCACCACCCCTTCCTAATTATCGCCCCCCCCCTCCCCCCACTATGAGTTGATTTTTTTTTCGGAAGGGGGGGGGGGGTTTAACCTAATTTGTTTTTAAACTTTAAACCAGCTGTATTATTAACAGGCACAATACAACAGTTTAAGTGTAAACAGCATATCTCACTAATAAGTTGTATTTCTTGCAATTTCCAGGGACGTGTTTGACCGCAGAGTGTGTGAACTCAGGTACGTATATTGTCATCCTTTTTCTCGTAAACACCAAGTTGTCAGTGTGGCGAAATAGTTAAACCGTTTGCATTGCTCATCTGAAGGTAATGGATTCCATGTCGTACTCTGTCCTTTACCTCGCAAATTCGTTTTTCGTTCGAGGTTTTTAGAGGGCCAATAGACGTTTAATCAAAGAAACATAACAATATGCAATGAAACCAATTGTAATGAAGCAAGTAAACACTATAAAGTAAGGATAACATCGATTGAAACAAATGTATTCCTTTCGTTTGGACCGTACTCTAAATAGACTTTATATTTTTTAAAGTGAATGGTTTAAAACAGTTTCAACGAGAATGATTGCTGCAATGTAGAACTTTTATTTTAAATAGAGTATTTAATGGATTTACACATGTGGCGTTTAAAATATGTTCAGAAGAGTTTGTAAAGTTTTCCGTAACCTTGTGTGACAGTGAGGATTTAAACGGAACTGAGAAGATACGGGACATCCAGCACCATTTAAAAAAAAAATCAATCAATCAAATAACTGAAAAAGTGACGAATCTAAATCAATCAGTCAGTCAAATAGCTGAAAAAAGTGATACATCTAAAAAATTCTAAATCAACCAATCAGTCAAATAACTGAAAGAAGTGATACATCTAAATCAATCAATTAAATAACTGAAAGAAGTGATACATCTAAATCAATCAATCAAATAACTGAAAGAAGTGATACATCTAAATCAATCAATTAAATAACTGAAAGAAGTGATACATCTAAATCATTCAATCAAATAACTGAAAGAAGTGATAAATCTAAATCAAGTAGTAAGTCAAATAACTGAAAAAAGTGATGCATCTAAATCAACCAATCAGTCAGTCAAATAACTAAAAGAAGTGATACATCTAAATCAATCAGTCAAATATCTGAAAGAAGTGATACATCTAAATCAATCAATGAAATAACTGAAAGGAGCAACACATCGAAACCAATCAGTCAGGTGCTATCTTCACAATGAAAGTTGACTGCAATGGATCCCCAACACGCTCTCTTATCTTGGTTGTACACTTTCTCAGACTGCTGTTTATCCATCTCTTGATGTTTGCCTCCCACTTTTATAGTTGTCTACCCCTTGCTCTTTTGCCCTCGATCTTTCCCTCGAGTATGATTTTTTTTTTAAAGTGTTGTCTTTTAATCTGGCCAAAATCTTTCAGTTTTTTAAAATCAGTTTATTTATGTAATTAATATTATTTTATTTTTTTTTTTTTTTTTTTTTTTTGCATTCTCTCAAGAAATTCTGTATTAGATGTTTCTATTTGCATGAAATAAGACCTTTTCTACTTCATTTCCACATTTCCAGATATTCATTTCGATTTTCTAGATGCTGGTTCATTGTCCGAGTTTCTTCACCATACAGTAGGGTTGAGTATATATACAGTTTGACTATTTTTGTTTTGTTTCTTGTAATGCATTGTTTATCTGTCTATATGGCAATATCTTTGCTTCTTACTGAAGATGGTCTTGGCCACTCCTATTATCTTTTTGATTTCTTCTTTGCTTCTTACATCTTCATTTATCGCATGTTCAAAATAGAAGAAACTTGTTACTTGTTCTAATGTTACAATCTCCCCATTCACTGTAATGTTTACTGTTGAGAATTCTCGCCCAGGTAATCTGATAATCTTTACAGGTGGACCTGTGTTGATAGGCAGATGAAGCTCATGGGTTTTCTTAGCAAAAGTGAATGGACGCCGCTTAGTGCAACAAGGCCTTGCATATGAAGTCACATCTAGTTTGATAATGGTGGTGGAGGCAGTAACTGCAACCTTTCGCTGGCTTGAGAATCAGCTGTACACACATGTCGTAATTGTAATCGACTCACAAAGCAGGATGAGAAAGGTGCAGGCCGGGATGCTCTTTGAAGAGGGGCCAGCAGGGGTCTCATGTAGTTGGCGACCTTTGGATTTTTTCCCCAGGGAGTGACTGTGTATTAGAAAAGGAACCGACAGAAAAACCGGCTGGTTCTGCACATCTTGATGGTGAATTGATACCTTTAGGGGTGATTGAACTTTGCAGAAGCACATATGGATCATAATTGATCTAAAGAGAATGGTACTGCAAGGAGTAAAGTGACCTAGGGATCCGGTCGACATTCAGCACTCCAAAGGAAAAAAAGTTGAGACGAATATACAATCAGGCTGCTATTGTTACTAGTGAAATTGGAACTCCGCGCTTGCTGCTGAAGATGGGGACGGAGCGCTTATGTGAATGTCCTGAGTGCTGTAATGTCGATTGTTAATTAAACATTAATCATCAAACTGTTTGTAGCTGTTTTCTGTCACACCGGCGATGTTTAACTTGTGATCGTATCCTATAAAAAAGATATGCTTGCTATCTTACATTGAATGATTTCTATCAGCATCGCGCCTTAGAAGATACATGGACGCTACCGTGGATCCATGCAACAACTTTTACGAGTACGCTTGCGGCGGCTGGCTCAAATCCCAAGTTCTAAGCTCTCATCAGGCGAAGATCGGAGTCGAAAGTACCATTTCTGATTCCAATCGTAAAAATATTCGAGGTGAGTACTGCGTTTCATTCACTCATTCATTGTTATGTTGTGTCATTATATGTCGCATATGGCTCGCAGTTTATTTTTCTACTCTAAAATTTCTTGCGCAATTAATTTGGTATCATAGAGGAATCCAATACAAAACCTTTGGCTGTTCTCATCAACTTTTAGTATTAGGGTTTCTCTTAAAAGTTCTCATTTTCTTAATCCGAATGTGTCCTATTTCATTGCCTGTTTGGTGATTCTCTGTTCGTCTGTTCTCGAAATATGTCTGATAAAGCACCATCTTGTCTGTCTTACAACTGTTATTACTAGTGCTTGCCCAGACATTTCTTTTACTTCTTTACTTATTTTGAGTTCATTCCATTGTATGTTCATCATTTTTCTCAGACTTTTTTTTGGGGGGGATTGCATTTAGTTATTGTTCCATATCTTAAGCAGTCTTCCAGATCCTGGTTTTGGTTCTTTATATTTAATTCAACACAAACAAATAAATCTCGGAGTTCCCGGAAGGTAAAATACCATAGAAGTGTTTAGATTCGGGGATGAGATCTTTGTCAGCCCCGACCGTCTCAGATACCGTGACTACCCACCCTAAATCTAAATCTAGTCCTAACCCTAACTCTAACCTTAACTCTAACCCTAACTCTAACCCCAACTCTAACCCTAATTCTAACCCTAACTCTAACCCTAACTCTAACCCTAACTCTAACCCTAACTCTAACCCTAACTCTAACCCTAAATCTAACCCATTATACCCATTATAGCCCTAGACTATTTGACTTTCCCAGGAACTACGGAATTTCCCTTGTTTGGGGCGAATTAAACAAACTTACCCTGATTTGGATTAGTCATATTCAGATGATAGTGTCGTCGTCATTACCATCAACAGCATGCTGTGCCGTTATCTGTCAGGAAGGATGTTTTAACTTTTTTTTCCTTTAAACTCAGTAGCCTCGTTCATTGTAAAACAGTCTTCCCTTTATTGAAAACAGCAATCATCTGCCATGCACCCTTGTGTTCCCCAGAGATCCTGGAATCAGAAATAACTGTAGCGGACGAAGAATACCAAAAGCAGCCAAAAATATTCTATCGTGCATGTATGGATACAGGTAAGTGTCAGTGTGAATACAGGTTCGGGCATGTGTGAATATAGGTACGGGCATGTGTGAATTTAGGTACGGGCGTGTGTGAATACAGGTTTGTATTGGAAAGCAAAGGGGAAACTTCTTCTTTTTCTTCTTAAAGTATTTACCCCGTGGTGTTGGTAGTCATGTCTATCCACAGCCTTCAGTCTTGTGTACTTTCAATGAACTCTGAAACAGATGATTTTCCATACCATAATGTCAGATTGTCCAGCATCTGTTCATCATGTACTCCAGTTATCCCCTCCTCATCTCATGACCAAAGAATGTAGATTGTTTTTTTTTTCCTAATATGGGCAATCAGTTCTCTTTGTGAGTCAGTTTCTTTCAGGACGTCTTTATTGGTCTTTTTGTCTGTCCAGAGCATTCTCCTTATTCATCTATAAAACCACATCTCTGTAGCTTCCAAATAGGTTTTCGCTATAAGATTTATATAGCTTTAGGAATTCTCTTTCTCGTCCTAATTGATAAGAAAGATAGCATGAAATATTCTTCATTTTGTATAAGGCAGCCCTTGCTTGAGCAATTCGACATTTAACTTCCTTAATCACGGACATAAGAATGAGACAGTCATCATTTTTTGGTCATGTTATGAGAAGAGGGAAAATGGAACATGTTGTGACCACTGGAAAGATCTGTGGAAGGAGGGACAGAGGAAGACAACGAGAGAAGATTTTTGAAAGTCTTGTTGCATAGCATGGAGGTGTGTCAGCATACGAACGGAGGTGTGTCAGCACACGTATTTTCATGCTGCAGGAGATTGCAGATTATGGAGAGGCATGATCGCCCACGCCAGTCGGCAAGGCACCTGATGATGATATGTAAGTAGGTATAAATGTCGCCTATGTATTAGGTATGTATTAAAAACAACTGATAAATGATTATGGAAGCAGCAGCCTATTACACAACAAATGGAGAAAACAACGGTTTTCGTCTTCTACCTCAGCGTAAGTTGATTTTAATCACATACTTTATTCATTGACAAAAAATTATGGTAACGTGCCATGTACATATAATGAAAATTCTCGTTGTGCTGTTTTCTGTCTACAGCCAAGCTGGATGAAAGAGGCAGTGAACCGTTCTTTAAACTGGTGGAAACTATTGGGAAATACCCTAGTCTGGATCCCTCTTGGAACGAGACAGATTTTAATTTAGATAATCTTCTTGTGAAGCTGTCTAGACTAGGTATGTATACGATTTGCCAATGTTTTCTATTCTTTTGTCATTATCTTTATGCTAAGTGAGGTGAGGAATTGACTGACAGACTAGCGTTTTAACCTCCCTAGGACATCATACCGAGCCATAAACACTCGGTGACACCATTCGGATAAAGGATTAGCCAGGAGCTGAGGGTTATAATTAGGGCCCCTTGTTAAAGCTTCAAATAATAAAGAATTGTTTCCAGTATGGAGACGGACTTTTGAGAGAGAGAGAGAGAGAGAGAGAGAGAGAGAGAGAGAGAGAGAGAGAGAGAGAGAGAGAGAAAGAGAGAGAGAGAGAGAGAGGGAGGGAGAGGGAGAGAGACAGAGCGAGAGAGAGAAGGACAAAAGACTTTCAACTTTATAATGAAATCCTATTGCCATTCTATTACACAAAAAAAGTAAAGGATCCCTTACCACCTTCAAGCGAATTAAGCATATTGTGCTATAAAAAACAAGTAAAGATCCCATTTCACGCCTAAGGCGCATCGGGTATATGGGAAGAGTTTCCCATATTTTTACAGACCGATAAGCACTGGATGGGTAATGTGGTCAGCATTACGCCGTCGTCTTTACTTCCCCAGGACAGCCATCCTGGTACTCATTTTAGGCTGGGTCAACTTGCGACGTCCCATACCACGATAAAAATGCACGCAGCCAGCAGTGGGTTTCGATTACGGTAAGTTGGAATTACGAGTCAGACTCGCCACGGACGCCGCATATAGTTCTATAGCTATAGTTTATGGACGTTTTGGCACTCGATGGGTGGTATGGTCAACATTAAACCGGTCGCCTTTACATCCCAGGACTAAGCCTGGTACCCACTGAAGGTTGGGTGGTCTTGGAGCCAGTATCATTTATAAAGTAATGGGTACATAGCAGAGTATTGATAAAACTGCAACGGGTTCCCAATCTTTTGCTATTGAGGAACCACTGCTTTAAATTAAATATCTCATTGTTTGAAAGGCGTGCTCCTCGGTACGGTAAGTGCAGCGCATGGCATTGATAACATCACTTCTGTCCAGTATTTGGCCAGCCATAGCAATTGCAGTATCAGCTAGATAGTCTGCACGCTCGTTCACGTAAACACCCGCATCACCTGGCACAAAGATGAAGGTTAGGGCAGATATTCGTGAAGTATTCTACTGGATAAAATCTCCAACTGTATTCACCTTGCAGTTCGCCCTAATCTGTGTCAAGACAGGTAATGAATATTACTTTTATCATTTTACGAACACATAGACAATTTTTTTCATCTCTCCATGCCTGTAATCATTTGGGATTAGAAGGGTTATGATGGTGTTTAATAATCGAATGCGTGTGTACGTTTACCTAAAAGACTTCCAGTTGTGTTAAACTAAACATGACACGGTGATTGTGTTTAACGTTTCAGCTGTCATGCCTTTGTTCACCATGGACATTGGTAGAGATATCAAAGTTGCCACACAGACCAAGATATACGTAAGATGTTCTTGTTTACACTGAAACCAATTTTAACACACTGACGATCTCACTGCTTGTAGGGCTTACATATGTAATCTCATTATCGTCTTTAGTACTAATTAGAAGTAAGAGTGGTCGCCGTGGTGTAGCGGCTAGACACGTCTACGCATCGTAAGGTTGTCGGTTCAGGTCCTAACGAAGCTGGGCTTGTTTGAATGGCCACCAGGTCAAGTCATTGGATGCTGACTATATCACTCACCAAGTGCCTATTGATCTACACAATGTATGTCTAGCCCTACATGCCCAGTATGTTTAAAGACGTGGATAAGGTTCTTTTAATTTCTTCTTCTTCCTAAAGTCCACGCCGTGTGGCGTTTTCAGTCACCTCTTTCCATAAACTTGTATCTCGTGTTCAGTCAAGTCTCACACAGACGATCCTCCATGCCATGATGTCAATCTGCCAGCATCATTTCTCCCGGTCTCCCTCTGCCTCTCCTCCCCTCCAACTTTCCTACTGTCACGATGTACTCCTGTTTTCTCTTTCTCATAACATGACCAAATAATGTAGATAGTCTCTTTCTGATGAAGGCAATCAGTTCTCTTCCTGAGTCAGTTTCTATCAAGACATCCTTATTACTCTTCTTATTTGTCCAGTGTATTCTCACCATTCGTCTAAAAAACCACATCTTCGCAGTTCCATAAAGGTTGTCACTAATTTACCAACTGTCTATGATTCACAACATAGGATTTATTTAGCTTTAAAGAATTCTCTTTCTCGTCTCAACTGACAAGGAATGATTGCATAAAATCTTCTTCCTTTTGTAAAAATGCTGCTCCTTTAGTTTACTTTTAATATTTACAGGTGCCCCCCTGCCAAAGTTGTTCAACTACTGGCCTCTAGCTCTGAAAGTCGTTAGTCTAGCTTCCGTTGCGTGGTCTGCAGGTGTAGCTGTTCAGAAATTCCCCGGTGATTGTAGCCGAATAGCTTTTTTTTTTTTTTCCGAAATGTAAAAAAGACACTGAGCCATATGGGATAATACCAAGCGCAGTCAATGACGGTGATGGTTGTAAAGCAAGACCCGCTCGCATAAAAATAAGTTTTCCATAATAAGAGTACGTAATTTAATGATCAGTTTTGCCACTGAAGAGAGTCCCTTTGGTGGAGCAGCTAGTCGCTCGCCGCGGAACGGAAGGTCGTGCGTTCGCTCCCTGGAAAAGCCGCACCCTCTTTGTCAAAAATGACCTTGGCTCCCAGGTCGACCCAGCCTTGAGTGGGTACCGGGTGCAGTCCCGGGAAGTAAAGGCTGCCGGTGTGATGCTGACCACACCACCCATCTTGTGCCGATTGTTCTATAAAAATATAGGTCTAGCCCTATACACCTAAAGACGTGGCAAAGGTCCTTTACATTTTTTACTTTTTGCCACTGAATTTTGTGGAAATCAAGGGGAAACTACCACATTATTATCTCAAGAACCGTATCATGGAAGAAAGAAAAAAAAAACGGGGGGGGGGGGGGGGGGGGGGGGGGGGTCTCCAAGCCAGGCCGATAAACGCCAACTGGAGAAGAAAACGACGATGGTGCAAAGAAGGGTAGTGGAGATGTCGGCATTAGGCCTGACGGTTGAATGCTCCTTGTAACAACATGCGTGTGTGAGTCGGGAGCTAACTCTCAATCATTAAGGAAGAAAATATGGGCTTTTGAACTGAAATGCCAATAGAAATATTCTCAGAATATCATGGATTCAGATAACAATAAATATTGACATTCTAGAAGATCTGAACATCAAGGAAGATTGGCTAGTAAACGGCATCTTGTTTCGAAAACCGAAATATTATGAACATGTCAAGCGCCACGGAAAATTGGTAAGAAAACTTATAGAAGGCATGGTACCAGGAAAGATTGACAGGGCCGACCAGCTCGAAGATGGGCGCATGATTAAAGTGACTCGTTGTCTAGAAAAGTGCACGAGGTGGGAGCGTTGGCGAGAGACTAGTTTCTTTCAAGTAGGCTGTGGCGATAGAGACGTTCTGAAAAAGAAACAAACATAATACTGCTGAATTTTGATGTATGTATTTTACGTGCTTGTTCTATGACTTTAATCTTTTACCCTATTGTTCCGTGACGTTCGGGGGGGGGGGGGGGGGGGGGGCGCTGCATGGTCTCGGGGCATGGTGTTCGCCTCGAGTGCTAGAGGTTCCAGGTTCAATCCCCGGTAAGGCTGGGATTGCTTTTCACGAAGACTTGGACTTCTCAGTATGTATGAATGTATTCCCCCTGGTCTCTGGGTAGTGAGATCGGACGTCCGTGGGCATTGTTGCGTACGTAAAAAATCCATTTGGCAGTTGGAAATTAAAAGAGTAGACTTACGGCGATGCCCGGGCAAGATTTGGAGTTAAAAATCAATCCAAAGTTTTTCAGGATCCTCGCCGGCGCTACAGAGCCGCCTGTGTACTGTGCTGTGCTTCTTCGGACTCAGACTTGAGTTAGAAGAACGGAGCACTTATGTGTAACTACCCGTGTGTCATGATGTTGATCCGTTGTTCAAACATCAAACTTCTATGACTTTCATCTCTTACCCTATTGTTCAACGATGTTTATCTCTTACCCTATTGTTCTATGACGTTCATCTCTTACCCTATTGTTCTATGACGTTCATCTCTTACCTTATTGTTCTATGACGTTCATCTCTGACCTTATTATTCTATGACGTTAATCTCTTACCTTATTGTTCTATGACATCCATCTCTTACCCTATTGTTCTATGACGTTCATCTCTTACCCTATTGTTCTATGACGTTCATCTCTTACCTTATTGTTCTATGATATCCATCTCTTACCCTATTTTTCTATGACGTTCATCTCTTACCCTATTGTTCTATGACGTTCATCTCTTACCTTATTGTTCTATGACGTTCATCTCTGACCTTATTATTCTATGACGTTCATCTCTTACCTTATTGTTCTATGACATCCATCTCTTACCCTATCTGCAACAATTTTCTCATTTCACACTATTCCCTTCCTGATCTCCCCCTCCATAAAACGCGATACTTGGCATTCTATTTCTACAATGTCTTTATCAGTTATCAGATGCCAGTCTAGGCCTGGGAGCAGCACTGAAATATAAAACCGGACGTAACGACACGCGAGTGAGGAGCTACGAGAAGTGGCTGGTGGACACACTGGTGTTGCTGGGTGTCAACCGATCAGAGGCAGAGCAAGACGTTAAAGAAGTTGTCGACTTTGAGATCGCCATTGCAAAGGTTGGTGCTTTGGGATTCAAAACAACCCCCCCCCCCCCCCCGCCCTTTTCATTGTACAAATTCGGTGCAAAGTCATTAATTGTAGCATTTATCTGAAGGAGAGATTATTGCTTTACACCTTTCTAATTTTAGACTGTAGTGCAGAGCCGTCTAAATAATATTGAGGGCCCCTGAGAGAACAGATGTGTTGAGGTGTGTTGAAGCATGTGTGATAACCACTCATAGACATTAAAGTTTAGTTGATGGCAAGTCACTTGACATACACAAGGTGTGTAGGTGTTTGTTGGTGTAGGCCAGTGATTGTCTAGACAAAGTAGTTCTCTGGCTTTGGTCAGACAAATTACGTTAAGCAGTATGAGTGCGCGGGAGTGTGTTTATGTGGTTCTATGAATGTCTAGATACTCTAATAGCCTAGACGGTTATAAACCAAAAAAATGTAGATCTCATATATTAGTCTGACAAATAAAGCCAGTGTGTGTATGCTTGAGTGTGAGAGTGTGTATCCGCGCGCTTGTGTGTAGTTTTATGTATGGCAATGCCTATCCTTGAATGAGAAGAAAGAATGCGGATATTCACTCAAAGAACCTTCGAATGAAAAGACTGTAGGGAGACATTTACATTTAAAAGTTGGATGTGATCAAAGAAGGGATGCAGCCAATTGAGTTCACAACAAAATTTTACAGAGATACCTAGGTATCGTCACTGAAGCTACGGAGTTCGTGCTTTGTATCAAGCTCTCGTCAGGTGGCTAGCTGTTGTGTGAAGAGAGAGAGAGAGAGAGAGAGAGAGAGAGAGAGAGAGAGAGAGAGAGAGAGAGAGAGAGAGAGAGAGAGAGAGAGAGAGAGAGAGAGAGAGAGAGAGACTAAGACATGTGGGACAAAACTCCTTAAAACGTAATCGATCTTCTTAACTGTCACTTTTTTTTTTATGTGAACGTCTATCTATAGCAAATAACCACAGTTACGGTATGAAGTGCTACTCTTTCACATATTCTAGGTCATCACAACTGGATTCCCGTGACCAGTTCCTTTTCACCCGTTTCCTTCCTAATCACTTTCCGACCAGTTATCAAAAATGCCTGGTCGGCATTGTTACAATGCTGAGTTAACCCATAAAGTTAGACATTCGTGGGGATTAAACCCTAGAACTTAGTCTCGGCTGGCTGGGGCACTGATTACTCTGTCATCTCAATTCTTTAACACGGTGGGAACTACGCAGCGGTTAGTTCAACACTTTCTAGCTCAGGATGTATACACTTCAGAACAACAGTCTTTGAGTCTCAGTGAACTGAATCATTAGAAATACGGAACAGGGTAAACTGGAGTAACCACCAAAATAGTTCCATTGGATCAAGTAGAGTTGAGTTGGGTCAAGAATTGACATCACACCACTCGGGGCATTCCCATGCGTGATCCGTCCTCATCTTCAACAGCCAGCGCAGAGTTCCAATACTGATGGTACTGGTCACAATCTGGTTATATGTCCGTCTTGCCTTTTCTCTGAGTATAGTGAGCCGACTAGACCCTCAGGTTACACCCAGGTGCCTCATTCTCTCCAGGCTCTAATAATCTTGATTCTGTACTGATTCCGTCATTTGTTCCTAAAGGGCCTCGACCACATTTGTCTTTTCATGTATCAATTCACCACCCAGTGGTGCAGATCAAACCAATCTCTCTGCGTGTTCATTACCCACCACGCCGGCATAACCTGGAGAAAAGATCCACCATTGAAACAACAGTAGTGGCTACTAGTTATGTGCATTGCGTGGCACTGTTAGCTGCATTTGGGTGGTGGGGGAGGGGGATGCTCTTCGACTAGCAGCGTGATTTTAATCGTGAATTGCACATCCAGAAAATTGCGATTGCCTATTGTAAAAGTCTTTGTGGGGCTTATACGATTAGCTGCAGGTGCAGTTACTGATCTATTGCAACTGCTGCCTTCCTCGTTGTTGAACTGAATTTCTAGCGGCGGACTGTTTGTTTTTTACACTTCTGACTGCTAACTTAGGCATTTAATGCGAATGTATGCTGTTGGATTCGCTAAGGAGAAATCTCTATTTCTCTCTCTGTCTCTCTCTCTTTCTCTCTCTCTTTCTCTCTCTCTCTCTCTCTCTCTCTCTCTCTCTATATATATATATATATATATATATATATATATATATATATATATATATCGTTGAACTAACCAGGATATCACACAAGCGATGAACACCCGCTGACACAAAGTACCACTATGCGATGAGGATCACCCGTGGAGAGGTCCCAGAAACCCCTTTTAACCGCTAGGCCATATTTATGACCCGGCTATATTTAGGGCCCCCTGCAAAAAGCCATTAGCCAATGCCTACCTCACATATATTAGATAATCAACGTATGGTGCGTTGCGAGTGACTAATTGTTTGCATTCCACAGTTGGTGAGAAGCGATGTGGAAAAGGCTGATATAGCTTCAAGATACAATCTGATGACTGTTGCAATGTTACAGAGTAAATACCCTTGGGTAAGTATCTCCATACTTGTTTGTCTAAAGTCTTCTAGCTTTTTTTATTTCTTCATTTTAAACATGCGTGACACGGTCATGAATTTCTGAGTGTATCAAAAGGTAAAAATCTCATGTTGCATGTTTCTGAACTTCTTAGCTGTTTTCTTTGTTTATCTGTATTTAGTTTAAATTTAGAGTTATAGTCAGATGTAAAATCTTACTACATCCATGTTTCTCTATCTTCCCTCCCCCCCCCCCCCTTTTTTTCGCTAATCTACTTTTTTAACCTGGGTGGGGGGGGGGGAGGAGGAGTTTGTTGTGCATCGTTTACAGGACGTTGCAGAACCAGTCCTAGTTTTGGGGGGATTTCACTAGGCAATTTTACGTTCAGCAGTCTACCACTGGCTCCCAGCGGTCAGCTCTAGATACCATTTTCGAAGGCAAAGCAAAGCAGTATGCTGCCAAATAGGTAACAGTTGGGATCGAAACCAGGACCTCTGAATTGAGAAACACGTTCGCAACACTAATTAGCTAATTATTCTTTTACATATTTTCTGTTGGTGGCCTCAGGAAATTTTATTTATTAAGGCAGACATAAACAATAGCTTGCACAATTTATTACCTAGCATATTTCACTGTATCTCGTCAGGTGCATACTACAGTAACAGTTACATAAAGGAAGCAAATAAGTTGTTCCTTTATAAGTGAAATAGAAATTCCACAACAAATAAACCTAACTGCCTGTTTTACCAGGGCAGCCGCAGTATCAAAATCATGTCCTTTTGTTTTCAATGTTCAGGTGGAGGTAACAAATCGCGGCGTCTTCAAGATTGTGAAATCTGTTGGTTGTATCTTCTTTACTGAAATGCACAACAGGGAAAGACAACTTTACATTTCATTTAGATGGTGTGAAAGATTTGAACATATTATTACATTATTATAAATATTATACTGAAATGTTTTTAATTTGCAATTTTAATGTCGCTAAATTATTAATAATGTATTTACTACATTATTTTATTGTAATGTTAACATAATAACAATAATGATAATACTAATACATTTAAATTATAATTTTATAACTATGTTACTTTTAAAAGACAATAATACATTAACTTAATCACATTTTAAAATGAAAACAGAATATTAACACATTGACTCTTATTTTATTTCAATATCCGCAGCTCAAATGGCAAGAGTTCTTCCAGGCAGCGGCTACTGAAACAGGCACTAATGTCTACATCTCTATAGAAGAGCAGATCATCAACTTTGAACCAATATTTCTGGAGAAACTGGGAATATTGCTGGCCAAAACTCCAAAAAGGTCAGAGATAGTTAACATATTTTTGGTACTAGCTGGTAGAAGCTATAGAGCAGTGGCTTGACGCTTCGCTAGAAGAAGCTTCTTCATGAAAGTGTGTATGCATGTATGGGTTTCAAATGAAGGTGTAACAGAAATTATACTAACCATAGGGGGCTGTGGTGTCTCGATGCACGGTGTCCTTATTGAGTGCTAGAGGTTCGGGGTTAAATTCCCGGTAGGAGCTGGGCTTTTTTCACGTGGACTTGGACTTTTGGTAATTCCCCTTGCTCCCTGGCAAGTGAGATTAGACGCCTGTGTGCATTATTTCGCACGTAAAAAATCCATTGGCAGTTGAAAATCGAAAAGAGTAGCCTAACGGTGCTGCCCGGGCAACATTTGGAGTTAAAAATAGACCCAAAGTATTTCAGGATCATCGCCCGTGCTACAGAGCCTGTGCGCTGTGCTAAGCTTCTTAGGACTCAGACTTGAGTTAGAAGAACAACGGAGTACTTATGGGTTCCACCCGTGTGCCATGATGTTGATCCAAGGTTCAAAACCTTAAATCTTCAAGCACTAACCAATGCAATTAATTGTCTTGTGAGCTGCCCATTATGTCAAGGGAGTTAAGCAGGTGAAGGAAGTTTTGAAAACAGCTACAGTCGACTCTGGGGTCACTCGGTGTGCCTGACTTGGTCACGAATAGTCCGTTAGAAAAGTCCCAATCGTTTTAAAACTTCCTACTCTACTCATACAATTGCATGCATCACCACACTGGACCTTTATTCGCCGATGGGTAAAACAAACGTTAGTCTTCCCATTTACACAGTGTTACACACTAGCTCACTTCTGTGTGTTCGACCTTCAGCCTAGCTCACTTATGATTGGTCGACTTTGACTCAAGCTACTTTGCCAGAAGGTTACGTAGGTTTCCCGCAATGCCGTTGATATCGCCTATTGTATTTTTCAGCATGCCAGCGCTTTCATCACCCCAAAAACATCGACAAACTGGGTCTAACACAAAACTCCTTTAGAAAGTGATGAAACCTGTGTAACAGGCGTTCTCAGAATAAAAACGTAAATGCAAGTCAACCCAGAAAGCAATTAACAGAGCGACACACCGGTTACCTTCAGGAAGGTAGACCAGCCCCAAAAAAACTTATAAATGGAACGTGACCCTCTTTGTTTGGGAAGACAAACGTTTGTATAACCCGCCGATGAATATCTATAGGTTTCACCCCTTCACATATTAACAACAAAACAAAAAAAACGAATAACAGAACGCTGTTCCTCTTTGGTTCAATGTCAAAAGTATGACGGCCATCTTTAAACTATTGTTAAGATTTCACTGTGTTCGTCTGGACCATGATGTCAGTACTTAACACTCTTGACAACCTTAACAACAAAAATAACAGGCTGCAAGACAGTGGCATGGTCAGTGTATTTTCTGTTACACTTTTAAGGTTTTCATCTGAAGCCAGCGCGTGTGTATGTTTGCATGTGCTGTTGTGCATTTATATGTGCGGATATGTAAGTATGTCAGAGTGTGTGTTTTTCTGAGTGTGTATATGTTTACTCATGGGTATACATATGTATGAGTTAATGTGTGTAGAGGTATGACTATTATGTGTGTGCGTATGCACGTCTGAGTAAGTATTGTATATGTATGTATATATATATATATATATATATATATATATATATATATATATATATATATATACATACATACATACATATATATATATATATATATATATATATATATATATATATATATATATACATACATATATATATATATATATATATATATATATATATATATATATATATATATATATACATACATACATATATATATATATATTTATATATGGTGGTGGTAGCGGTTAGCGGGGTAGGGGTATCCCCTATCAAAGGAGAAGTAAGACGCCTCCTTTCCTCCGCTAGTCTACGGGACACCCTTGGGCAAGGTGGAGTACCCGTTTAGCCCCCCAATCAGGGTTACGTGAAGCCATGGAAGCAGGTGGTGGATGGAGTGTAAGAGCAGCCGACAGGTATTGTTGGTTATGGTCTGCACTCTGCGGCGATAGGCAGATGATCTCATCAGTAGAGACAATGGCTATGGCCACCGACTAGTATAGTCACTGCTCAGGAGGAAAGCAACGGCAAACTACCTTCTGCAAATTTTGCCAAGAATCCATAACAATCATGAAAGAAAACATTACACAGAACAGATCTGGTGGCGAGACCCCCAGGCCAGGCAGATCAGATAACACTGGGGAAGAGTGTGATACAGGGGTCAGTACTAGTAATCGTGATGACGGAGTTAATCCTGACTGTGTTACCAAGGAAATCCACTGTGTCAGACTAAGAAACAGAATGCGAATAGGAACGTGGAATGTGAGAAGTCTGTATGAAGGAAAGCTTAAAGTAGTATGTGATGAGATTGAAAGATTAAATATTCAGATCTTAGGAATTTGTTAACATCGTTGGAGTGGCAAGGGACATTTTATCAATGAATATGGAAGCTTTTTCGTATATTCTGGTAGAGATGTAAGAGGCCAGAGCGGAGTGGCATTTTGTTTAGATAAAACAACAGCAAAAGCTATTATGGGATATAATCCAGTTAGTGATAGAATCCTAACTATCAGACTTAAAGGCCGTCCAAAAAACATAACTTTCATGCAGGTATATGCACCAACTTCAACAGCAGAGGAGGGCGAAATTGAAGATTTTTATGCCATACTGCAAGACACATTAAATAAAATTAATCAGAATGATATAATAATAATAATGGGAGATTTTAATGCTAAAGTAGGTACAGGCAGAGCTGAAAATGAGAGACACGTTTTAGGAAAATTTGGATTGGGTAATAGAAATGAAACAGGAGAAAAATTGATTGAATTTTGCATAGAAAATGAATTAACAATAGCTAACACACTTTATAAACAACACCCTAGAAGGCTTTTCACATGGACATCCCCTGACGGTGTTACCAAAAATCAGATAGATTACATTTTAATACAAAGAAGATGGAGATCGAGCGTAACATCTGCAAAAATACAGATCATCAGTTACTAGAAGCAGATCTGAAATTAAAACTCAAAAAGCTTACCCGAGGACCAAGGCCATTTCGATTTGATCTCACAAAAATACCAGATGCATACAACGTAGAAGTGAAGAACCGTTTTGAGGTCTTGATGTCTGTACAAGAGGAAATGACACCTGATGAACTGGCGGTACAAGCTAGGGATATCTTGATAACAGCAGCTAAAGACTTAATACCCACCAGGACTAAGCAACATAAACCATGGATCACACCATACACGTTAGAACTAATAAAACAACGAAGGAACTGAAAAAGAAAGGAGAAACCAATGACAGTAGGATGAAGTATAAATTTTTAACACGAGAAATAAGAAAGTACACAAGAAAGGATAAAAATCAGTATGTACAAGATTGCTGTATTAAAATAGAGCAGCATCATAAAAATGGAAGAGATTACGAAATGTTCAAGGAAATGAAGTTATTGACAAGAAATTTTCAACCTCAGTTAAATGTTATTTGTGACAGGTTGGGAAATACTTTAACAGAATCTAGACAAATTCTAGGAAGATGGCAGGAACACTGCAGCGGAATGTATGATATGAATGACAGTGAGGATATGAATGATATACATGAACCAGTAACAGTAGAGGCAGAACCTGAACCTTCATTAGATGAAATTTCATGGGCAATAAGGAGCCTGAAAAATGGTAAATCACCTGGATGTGATGAGATACCAGCTGAATTGATTAAAGCGGGAGGAGAAGAAAGCATAAAAATCTATCATGCATTATGTGAAAAGATATGGAAATATGGTATTTGGCCAAAAGACTGGAAGAGAACTATCTTCATTCCAATACCAAAAAAAGGGTGACCTGAAATTATGTACAAACTATCGAAATATTGCCCTGATCAGTCATGCAAGTAAAATTCTATTAAAAATTATAATGAGAAGACTGCATAAGAAAATGGAAGAAGAGATTAATGTAGCTCAGGCTGGATTTAGACAGGGAAGAGGAACAAGAGATCATATATTCAACATGCGTTTAATAATAGAGAAGTGTAGAGAATTTAATGTAAATCTGTTCTTATTTTTTGTGGATTATTCAAAAGCATTTGACTGTGTACAACATCAGAAGCTTTGGGAAATCATGAGGAATATGGGCTTTCCATCACACATAGTGCAGCTCATTAAAATGCTCTATCAAAACCAACAAGCAGCAGTCAGAATAGATGGAGAGACATCAGACTGGTTTGGCATCAAGCAAGGAGTCCGTCAGGGATGTGTGCTGTCACCGTATTTGTTCAACCTGTACGCCGAAAATATAATGAGAAATGTAAGAGATGATATAAACAAGGAACAATATGATGCCCTAAACATCGGCGGTTATGAAATACCAGAAATTCGTTATGCTGATGATACAGTATTACTATCAACATCACAAAATGGTTTAGAAAACTTATTAACCTCACTCCAAAGAAATAGTGAAAATCATAACTTATTTCTTAACATAGCAAAAACAAAGATAATGCATACAAACAAAACTGCCATGGAGAAGAAAATATATGTTAATGAGGAAAGATTGGAAGTGGTGGAAAATTTCGAATATCTTGGGTCACTGGTTACCAACAATGGTGACACAATGAAAGAAATTAAACGGCGACTATCAATTGCTCTTCAAAGACTAAAACAACTGAATAAATTATGGAATTGTACAGATAGAATTACAAAGGTCAGATTTTTAAGAGCATGCATCTTTCCCATTGCAACATACGCCTGTGAGACCTGGACACTTACTAAACAAGCGGAACAGCGTATAAATGCATTTGAATATAAATGTTACAGACAGGTTCTAAGAATATCTTGGGTAAAGAAAAGAACAAATGCATCCATACTTCAAGAGCTGAATATTGAAGAGGGTTGGCTAGTAAAGACAATAAAACAAAGAAAATTGAAATATTTTGGTCACTTGAAACGTCATGGAAGTCTAGAGAGAACAATAATGGAGGGGTATATGCCTGGGAAGAGAGGAAGAGGAAGGCCAAGGAGAAAATGGGTGCAGGATGTGGCAGATGATCTCCAGATGGGTGTATCAGACGCAGGACATCTTGCTCAGGATAGGAAGGTTTTCCGGAGGGTTGTTATGGCAGCGAGGTTCCGCGAGGGACATGCTACTGAATGAATTAATGAATATATATATATATATATATATATATATATATATATATATATATATATATATATATAAGTGGTTTTGTACTAACTAGTCTGTAGGTAATCGTGGTGTATGAGTGTGTGTCAATACAAGCGTGTATGTGTATGTATATGTGTATATTTTAATGTATGTATTTGATATCCATGACTTTGTGTTTTTACCTTATACCAGTGCTTCCCAAACTTTTCTTAGTCGCGGCGCCTTTTTTCAGTTAAAATTTTTCTGCGGCGCCCTAACCTAAGTAAAAGTATGACTATTCGTATGTATCATCATCGTCATCATGTGCCCTGCCAATTGGCGTAGGCGCCCATGCGTCTCTACAGATAACGATCCCTGGTTGACTGGAACAGCTCTTTTGAAAATATCCCTCCATGCCATCGTTTTAGCCCATCCAGCATAATTTCTCTTTGTCTGCCTCTACCCCTTTTTCCACAGATCTTTCTAGTTGTCACTATGTTCTCCAATGTCTCTCTTCTCATTATGTGGTCAAAGAACAGTGTTTGTATCTTTCTTATTGTTGTAAATAGAGATCTACTTTCATTAGTCTCTTTCAAGCAATCGTTGTTAGTTATTCATAACATTCGTCTCAAAAACCACATCGTCTCAGAAACCACATCATCTCAGAAACCACAAAAACCATGTAAGAGATGCACACACACACACACACACAAAATTCGCGTATCTTCGTATATTTCGCAGCGTCCCTGTGAAGGGGTTGCGGCTTCCCGGGCGCCGCGGCTCTCATTTTGGGAATCACGGCCTTATACACATAGTATGCATTTGGTTAAATGTACATAACGTGTTGTGTTTTTGAATATACAAGGTGAGTGTGAAACAGGGGTGGTAAGGGAGGGGTAGGGGGGGGGGAAGACATGTTGTCGACTGGTTGTTACATTATTTGGATATCAATAATTTACCTAATACGTTCTAGAAAATGGATTTTCTAACATGTATTTGTTCATATTCCAACAGGATTGTGGCCAACTATTTGATGTCTCACGTGCTTTCATTTACATCAGCACTTGGCTCCAAATTTGTGGCTCTGTTTGACCAGTTCAGCAAGGTAAACAGCAAGCAACCGTGTGTATCCACAGCAGTGGCTCTCAACCTTTTTCTGAGGCCGCTTCTTTCAACATATGGCAGCTCCAAACCCACCCCTATCCCCTTTCCCCAAACTCTGGAAAAATTAAAAAGATTAAAAAGGAGGTCAAAAAAGAAAAATGCCACGCAATATTAACAAGAGCTTTGAGAAAAATATCAAGATAAATCAAAGTGTCAAACAACAAAACAGAAACAATAACTAACAACATGTAATTTATTGTCCAGATATCAGTGTGATGGTCGACACTGTTTTATATTGCTTATAAAGTAAAGGACCCTTTCCCCACGCCTTTAATCGTATAGGGCATATAGGGCTAGACCTATATTTTATAGACCAATCGGCACAAGATAGGTGATGTGGTCAGCATCACGCCGGCCGCCTTTACTTCTTGGGACTGCACCCGGTACTCACTCAAGACTAGGTCGACCTGAGAGCCAATTTATATTGCTTATATCATTTATTTTTTTTCAAATCTAATTAGGACTGATATCTTGTTGAAGATTTAAAAAATATATATATACAAAGGAATGAATTTAAAAAAAAACACTGTAACCGTGTGCGTCATTGAAGAAGCCCTGTATAAAAATAGCAGTCTGAAGGTTGCGGGAATAAGGTAGACTGCCTTCTTTTAAAGCTGTTAATCAGCTTCTGAAAAAGAAATACATATGTCATGTGAGTAAGGTACGTAGCCAGTGAAACGATAAGTCTACAAGTAAAATCTTTACTAGTACTGTGTCAGAACAAAGATGCACGTGTCGGGAGCAGGGATGGAGCGGTGGCTAGAGACAAATTGTTTTTTTTAAATTGCCTTTGCTCATCGGTCGACCCAGTCTAAATAAGTACCAGGTAGTATTATGGGAGGCAGTCGCCGTGGTGTAGCGGCTAGATGCTCGCCTGCGAATCGAAAGGTCGTGGGTTCGGGTTCTGACGGAGATGGACTTTTCTCAAAAAATCACCTTGACTCCCATTTCGACCCAGCCTTGAGTGGGTACTAAGTGCATTCCTGTAAAGTGAAGGCGGCCCACATCACCCACTAAGTGCCGATGGATCTATAAAGTAAAGGTCAAGCCCTATATGCCCACTATGCCTGAAGGCGTGGTCCTTTACTTGGTATCATGGTAAGTAAAGGCGGTCAGTGAGATTTTGACCATATAAACCCTACCCCCCCCCCCCCAACCCAACTCCTTTTTTTCCTGAGTTCAAGTTGGTTAGTAACAATTCTTCTCGTGTAGGTTTTGGAGCCCCACTGTGGGAAAAACAAGAATAGAGTTACTGCCTTAAAAGCATGTCGTAAGAATCTACTAATTAGGAGTTTGCTGTTAAATCCGAGTGCATCTGCGTAAGAGGCAAGCAACCATCGGTCTGCATATAAATAGGCAATATATTCATAACGGATATGCAAGCAATAGTCAAGTTCCACACACAAAACTTGAGTCCAGAAGTGGAAGAGCAACCAGAACTTTCTCCGGTGAAGGCACGGGGAAAAAGAACATATATTGCTAACGAGTAACCTGGCATTTCTGATCAAATATTCTTGTTTGTGTAAACTTAACAGGAAACGCAAGGTACGGACCCTAAACCAAGATCTGAGCGATGCGTTTCTGAAGCAACATCAGTGTACCCAGAATCCGTCAGTAGAATGTATGTGGACAAATACTTTTCAGAAGCCGCTAAGACATATGTAAGTATCTGTATTGTGGTAATTTGGTGGATTTTACTCTTGTCCATTTATATAGATAGTTGAAGTTAGCTGCGTATCCTTCACAGAACGTTGCAAAACCAAATCTATTATTTTTGTTTTTGCTGTTGTGGTTTTTCGAGGCAAGTTTAACGTTCAGTAGTTTGCCTTTGCGACTGAAAGGTCAGCTCTCGTCACCACTGTCGAAACAAACGCATGAGGCGCTGCTTCCAAATCGCCCGCAGCTGAGATCGAACCCGGCATCCCGGTATTTGCTCTCTCCGCTTCATTTATCCAGTAATTGTATCATCTAAACAAACTCACCATGTTGGTCTTTTTTTCTCGGATTGTCGCCCTCATCACGGTCTATATGTATAAAACTTGGTCTCTCGCCCCATGTGTCACTTATATCATGTGTCCTTACTCGTGCTGGTCGACCTCTGCCCCTCTCTCCCTGTACCAACCCTTCTGCTCTTTTTTGTTTCAATCCTCATTGGTGATTGATATAGCACACATATTTCAATTTCCGAGACAAGATGTTGCTTATTAGCCATTTTCTTCTTTGATGTATTGGTAAACTACTGAACATAAAATTGCCTAGACAACCTCCAATACACAGCTAACAAATGCAAGGTTTGGCTTGCAACGTTTAGGTAAAGGATAGGCAACCTTAGGCACCAGAAAGTAGGAGCTCACAAACGCCTTGAATTCCCCCCCTCCCCCCCCCCGCCCCCTCCCCACTCCCTCTTTTTTTTCAACTCCCAGGAAATTTGAAACTTGGCTAAGATGTCCCTCTAACCAAATATAGACGTTCTCACTTTAGGTTTTTTGTTTCGTGTTTTTATATATATATATATATATATATATATATATATATATATATATATATATATATATATATATATATATATATATATATATATATATATATAGCTACTCTATTGAGGTTTGAACAACGAATCACCATCATGGCGCAGGGGTAGCAACCTATAAGGGCTCTGTTCTTCTTCTAACTCAAGTCTGAGTCCGAAAAAGCTCAGCACAGTGCACAGACTCTGTAGTACCGGCGAGGATCCTGAAATACTTGGGTAGATTTTTAACTCCAAATTTTGCCCGGTCAGTGCCGTTAGGCTACTCTTTTCGATGTCCAATTACCAAGGAATTTTTTACTGCGCAACAATGCACACGGGCGTCCGATCTCACTACCCAGAGACCAATGGGAAGTACTAGAAGTCCAAGTCCAGGTGAAAAAATCCCAGCCCTTACTGGGAATTGAAACCAGAACCTTTAGCTCACGAGGCAGGCACCCTGCCTCAAGACCTTTCAGCCCCCATATTGCTATTATATATATATAAAAACCTATATATATATATACACACACACATACACCCACTTTTTAATATATTGGCATATTATGTTTCATTTAGCGACTCCTCAAACCACACACCAGTTATCTTTGTATCGTGTTAGTGCAAACAAATTTCATTAAATTCCTGTAAATTTACAATTTAATCCTTTTTTATTTTGTTGTTTAGATCGATGAAATGATAAAGGATCTGACAGCCGCATTTTCCGATCTTCTGGACGAAAATAAATGGATGACAGATGAAACTAAAAAAGAAGCACATGCTAAGGTAACATGGAAAAGTATAAAACAGTTACATTTAAGAGAAACAGCTTCATTGCAAATGGTCTTATATCATACGGCTAGGTCTCTCTCTCCCCTCTCTCTATCTCTCTCTCTCTCTCTCTCTCTCTCTCTCTCTCTCTCTCTCTCTCTCTCTCTCTTTCTCTGCATAACGGCAAGTCGTCCGCTTTGAGCGCCACAGATATCACGAACTCTGTAGCTCCAGCGACGATTCACAGGGACCTTTGTGAAACTGCACTTTTAAACTGTAGGACGTGACTGTGAAACAAACCCACAGCTTTCATGGGGCAATGCAAACGGCTTGACCATTTCGCCACAGAGAACTCCAGTTGACTCTTTCAAAGGTCATATGAAGGTGCTTGTGTAACAGAAGAAGAAGAAGAAGAAGAAGAAGAAGAAGAAGCAGAAGAAGAAGAAGCAGAAGAAGAAGAAGGAGGAGAAGAAGAAGAAGAAGAAGAAGAAGAAGAAGAAGAAGAAGAAGAAGAAGAAGAAGAAGAAGAAGAAGAAGAAGAAGAAGAAGAAGAAGAAGAAGAAGAAGAAGAAGGAAACGATCATTTTTTTAAACCAGGACAAAGCGGTTTGTTGCCAAATCGTCTGCAACAGAATTTAACCACACGCACTGAATTTCGAAACAGCACTCCTAACCTCAGAGCAAGGGTCACCGTCAATGGGAAGTTACTGAACGTAAAATTGTCTTGTGGAACTACAAACAGCCAAGACATGCTTCGGTTGGAATGCAACGTTTTGTAAAAGGTAGCAATTAATTTGGAAGTGGACAAGCTTTTTGCTTCTCTCTCTCTGACAGTCTGAACTCATTTTCACGAGCATATCATTCAGTTCAGGATGCGTTTTTACATACAATCCTCAGATTCGACCCCGGAGCAACAGGGTTCGTTTTTTATGAGAGACTACATGCTGATAGTCGGCTCTGTGGCTAAATCGATGCGAACTCTTCGTAATGCCGGGGAGCTGGGTTCGATCCCAGCTGCGGGCCATGCGCCTTGAGTTGGTTTCGACTGTGGTATCAGGGGGCCGACCGTTCAGCGGCAATGGCAAACTACTGGACGTAAATTTGCCTAGAGAAACCACACAACAACCAGGGGCAGCTGGGGTTTGCTCTACAACGTCCTGTAAAGGATACGCTGATAACTAGCCTTTATGTAGAGGGAGACTGAGCTATATTGGATGAGACCCAGGGCAATCAAATCGATCCTCTCGACTTCACCTTTAGATGATGCGGTATGTTATTGGCGATATAATCATGGAGAAAACGTAGAAACATGAGACAGTTAAGAAAACTCAGGTTCTTCATTTTAGTATATTTTGATTTTAATATGAAATATGTAAAATTGTTTTGAACATAATAGAAAAAAAAAAAAAATTTCTTTCTGAAAACTAGCTGAAAGCCATGAGGTCAAAGGTCGGCTACCCAGAATACATCAAGGACAATGAGAGGCTGAACAGGCTATATATTACGGTAAATTTTAACAAAGTCTTACTGCCAGCCTTTTACTCTTGTGATTGTTGCCATCGCACGAAGTAGACCATTATTTTTAGATTGCCAATTGGACGCAATGGACTGTATGCGTACAAGAAATTGCTACAGAAGCAGAAGATTAATAAATGATTCACGACAATTCTCACCCATGTGGTGTGGTTATCCATACAGATGGCTCTGTGTTGAGTGGCAGACAGTCCATGGGAAGTCTTGAGTTAACGTAGCTTAGTGCATCAAGGCCTGCATAAGACATCACAACATCTTGTTTGAGAATGGAGGTGGAGGCAATCACTGCAGCCTTCTTCTGACTTAAGAATCAACTGTAAAGGCGTGTCATAATTGTAACTGACTCACAGAGCATGTTTACCAAGGTGGATATAGGTATACTCTGTGCAGAGGAGTCCTCACTTGTTAGCGTCATGTGGATATGTTCTGCTGGTCATGCCGGTGTAATGGGATAAGAACAGGCAGACAGACTAGTCGGTTCTGCAAATGTTGGTGGTGAATTGATGCATGACAAGCTAGATCCTGTAAGGGTACTTAATTGGGGGGGGGGGGGAATTGCGCGGAGGCACAGACATATTATCACAGCTAGAGAAGAATGGTGCTGAAAGGAGTGACCAGGGGATCTGGACGACGATCAACACTCAGGGGAAAAATAACTGTTATGTATGCTGGTACCATCGGAACTGGAACTCTTGGCATATGCTAAGCAGCTGTTCATATTAACACCCTTGGATATTCCATGTATTCGTAGCTCCTATGATGGACCTCTGGATCTGCTTTTATTATGTCTAAGTGACAGGGTTCTACTTGGTACTTTATCTAATGGTCGTCATGGAATATGTCGGGATCATTTGATCTGCTGTCACTTGATGGTATTATTTTGTCTAAATTCTTTCAGAATTTCGCACCCTATTATAAACCAACTATTTCTAAATTGCTGCAAGTTTGTAAAAGTCGAGAGGGGAATTTAAATGGGTATAACCATGGACTTTTGAAGTTTTTCATATTTTTAATTGTTGCTGAATTTAATGTTTATTGCGGTTAATGTTTGTCGCAGTTAACATAAATCTTAGGTAATAAATATGGAAGTTAGTGTTCATCCTTGTTAATATTTTTCTGCAGGTGATGCTTATTGTAATTAATATTTACTCTACACGCTCTTGCAATAGAAAGTTAACACTTTTTCTTCTTCTTCTTCTCTTCCACCTTGTACATCAGCGGTGTCGGAGGGAGAGGGGGGGGGGGGTGTAATGTTCGTTAATGAGCTCTGTCAAGAGCACTATTAAGACTGATGTTCATTTCTGTAAGGCTGCTCTTATTGCCATCACTGCATATTTTCCGAAGTCTTCCACTCGTTCTATACCCGTTGTAACGTTTTAGTGTGGCTCGCTGTGGCAGATAGTACCAGGGCATTCTTGTTAGGTGTCCAAACCACTTCATTTGTTGTTCTTTGATGACCTGTAAGACTGGCTTTCTAGCATTCATCTGATTTCGTGATTTCGTATTCTGTCTGTCCTTAAAACTCATGCAGCTCTTCTAAGGCATTTCATCTCTGTTGTTACAATTTTACGTTCACTAGAGAATGTAAGGTCCACGTTTGGCATTAATAGCATAGTGTTGGCCAAAAAATAGTTCTGATAAGTTTCACTTTATTACTCCGAGATATTTTCTTGTGTGTCAACAGGGGAGATAGTTGCCATGACTTGATTAGCTTTAGCACATTCGGAGCTAATTTCTCTGTCCAGTTTTCCGTCGGATGTGAAAATTGCCAGCAAATACTTGAATTTCTCTGTTTGTCCTATGGTGTTGTTTTTTAATTTTATTTCTAAATTATCTTTCTGTCTTCTTATCACCATTGTCTCTGTCTTCGTTGTGTTTATGTTCATATTATATTCCTTTCTTTGTTACTAATTTGATTTAGGTTTTTATGTAGGTATTCCGTACTATCTGCTATGAGTACCTGGTCGTCGGCAAATAGTAATTCTATAATAACTTCTTCACGATTAAAGTCGTTTCGTTACATATGGTATCCATGTATGTTATAAAAAGAAGCGGCGATAGTACTCAGCGCTGACGCACACTAGAATTTACTATAAAAGTTCTTGACAATCCTGCCTTAGATCTTATGTAGCATTTATTACGTGTGTACAGGCTTTTGCAAATATTAATGAGATGATTGCTGATTCCCTTTTTTCCCATACATTCCCACAACATATTCATGTTGACTCTATCAAAGGCTTTTTCTTGGTCTATGAATGTCAACAAACATGTCTTACCGTTTTCTATTGCCCTCTTTGATAGTTGTCTCAATGTATAAATGGCATTTGTGCAACTTGTTTCGTCAAAAGTCCATCTGTGCTTCTGAAAGTTGATACTCTATCAGGGGTCTTTGCCTTTTTTTTTTCGATGATTTTAGAATATATTTTCCCAGTGTGAATGAGAATTGATATTCCTCTGCAATTAGTACAGTGCGCCTTCTCCATGACAACCAGCAGCATGACTATGGAGGTGATGGCAGTGACGCAAGCGCTTGCCTGGCTTGAAACACAAAAATACACCCACGTGTGTATACTCAGTGATTCAATGAGTATGATCCGGAGGGTTCAGGCAGGTTCAGTGCGAAGACAATGGCTTGAATCATTACAGAAGTCCACTGTGCGTGGAGTCACCTTTATTTTTGTTCCGGGACACGCAGGCGTCGATGGAAATGAAAGAGCTGACAGGTTGGCTGGATCCGCTATCACTACCGACGGTCAGCCTATGGATCATGCTGATATTATCAATGCCCTCAGAGAAATGGGAAGGATAGAGGACTGTGGTGGCAGTGAATCCACATCACTCGCCAGAATGGCAGACTTGGGAATTAAGATCGGCACAGCAAAAAACGAGACGCACACCAGACACGCCAGAAGACTTGTTAATCAACATATAACTGGTATGTCCGGAGTGCAATGAGGATAACCCAACTAACTAACTAACTAACTAACTAACTAACTAACTAACTAACTAACTAACTAACTAACTAACTAACTAACTAACTAACTAACTAACTAACTAGTACAGTCCCTCTTACTTCCTTAATTTTTCCATAGAGGGACGATGACAGCAGTCTGCCAATCTGATGGTGTTTCTTGATTTTCCCATGCCACCTGAAATATTCTCTTTAACCATATTGCCCCCACTTCTCCTGCTGCCTTGATAGCCTCAGCTGGTAGATCAATACCTGTCGCCTTTAGTCTAGAGGCGGTTAGAATTACATATTTTACTTCATCCAATAATATACCTGGTTCTAGTTCCTCTGTCGTTAGTTCCGAGTTGTTTCTACGTTCTTCTCTGCCTTTATCTGGTTTTTTTTTTTTTTTTTTGCAGCTAAGTAATGATTCAAAGTAATTGATCCACCTTGCTAAAATTTTCTTAGGTTCTATTAAATGTTGGCCAACTTCATCATTTATAATTTCTGTTGGGTTGTAGTCTTTATTGCTGTTTCTCTTTTTAAAGGCGTAAATTTTGAAATAGTTTCACTCAAAGTGGACGTTGTTTTCACACATTTGTAGTGTCGCGCGGAAATGTCATGTCTCCCGATTTTCAGTCTATCGACTGCAACAATGTATTTGAATTGATGTTACCAAAAACTTTCCAAGACCAGGAAGACAAAGGTTGACCGTGCAAAATCAAGACATATTTATTTGCATTTTTTATTTGCGGAACGCTTCCAGTCTGCTTGAAAGACAATATACACACACATTCAACACACACGCGCGCGCTCGCACACACGACCACCACTAAATTACCGATATTTTTCTATGAACACCGTTTTTGAGAACAGCAAACATAGGTACACTCCGGCCCCCTTTAACCCCCAAGATATCAGCCCCGCCACATCCAGAAATTTCTTTAGTAGGCAAATGTGCACGTCATATGGCGTCGACGTCAATGGCAGTTTGCTATAGTCTTATCCATTAGACACTGAAATTTGGTTGGGGCAGTATCATCGTAGAAAAAGTTAGAACGCAGCTGGTACCATTTCGGGGGAACGATGTGCGTAGTGGTACATACACACTGTCCAGAAAACATACTGTGTGCAACTTTCCGAAACTCACCAACAAGCCTTTACCTTTGTCCACGACAATGCAACCCCTCATTAAATCGTTTGTCACTACATTTCTTTTGCAAAAATGTAAATTTTTTCGCCATGGCCAGTCATTTGACCTGACATAACCCTGCTAAGCATGTAAGGGACATGCTTAACAAATACACCTCAAATTGTGTTACAGCTTGAAATGTAACTTACATATGATTGGAATAATGTTCCATAATCGGTAGTGTAAAAACTTAATCCACTCAAGGAGGCGTCTTTTTGGAACTGTGATTAATGCCAGAAGAGGGCACATTTATTTTTAGGCTGTGTGACTTTTTTTCATTTCTACCGAGGAAAATAAAAAAGTAACCCCTTTTTGCAATAGAGTAGATTTTACATATGTTGCAGTTAAAAGGTAATATGTTTTATATTTCCTGTGATTATTTTTTATTTCAGTTAACATTCATTGTAGTTAATAGTTACTGCAGTTACTGAGGTCTCTTCCTGTATTAACGCTGCGAGGCATTCCAGTAGCTGAGAAAAGAAGAAGAACAAGATTTCTAAGAAAAATAAGAGTAATAATTTAATTGTTACAGTATTTAATGTTTCCCTATTTTCTTGTGCATCAGATTGCAGCCCGGGAGGATCAGTACATAGAGTCAGTCATCGCCTTCAGACGGTACAAAGTCACAGAGAGAAACAGAAGTCTGCGGGAGCCCATAGACAAGGATCGGTTTGTGATTTACAATCCGTTGATTAACTCCTGTATAACCAGTTCACATCTACAGTAGGTGATTTATCATCTAGAGGATGGAACGGTCCACCCCTCTCTGAGCGACGTTTAGCTGCATACTGAGAGAGTTGCACAAAGCACGAACTATGTGGCTCCAGCAACAAACCCCAGATATCTCAGTAAAATTTACACTAGTGAGCCGAACGACGCAGTCCCTCAAACCCCTGAAAAATCCCGTTTTGTCAAAAGCTAATTTTCTTCTCCTTCTTTCCCTTAGCGTTTAATGACTGTAAACTCTGAAACTCCTGGTAGGGGGGGGGGGGAGGGAGTTCTGATTGTTCGTCCACTTCTTTACTTTGATCTTGTTTTAGAACTGGAGATTTTCGTAAACATTTTTTATACAGATCTGACTTGTTTGTATGCAAATTAATGGTTCCCCACTTCTCAGGCAGATGCTTCTCAGGCCTTTGAAATAAACCCCACAATTAGTCCCCTTGTACGACATGCTTAACAGGGGGCAATAGGTCTATTCTTTCCACCCTCCTAGCCCCCCTCTCCACCCCATCATCCTATACCCAATGGGGCCCTGTAATCCGCACAAAACATGCCCTTTCACAATCGCGCACTTTTATGTTCTATAAACAATCTTTAGTACTTGTACCTCTTTTGTGTACCTGTGTGTTTTTTAATATTATCCGTGAGGTATTTTATGTACTCGCTTTCCTCCCAAGTTTTTGTACTTAAATCGTCATCAAAGTGTGCGGTGCCTGCCAGAGTAGGCTGTCATGTTTCTCCCAGAATCGCGAATAAAGTCATTACTCTTGTCTCGGCACGAATATATTTAAGTCATTCAGTCGTTATCTCATCACTTTTTCTTCTCCTTGCCCTTGTTCCCCATAAAGGTTGCCTTATATTTCGAAAAGAATGGCTCATTTACCCATTATTTGTAATGACCCCCCCCCCCCCACACACACGCACACACACAAATTATTACTTTATGTCTGCACCCCTGATTTGCAACAGTGACTTATATCACTCTTTATTGTGTCTGAAGCTGCTTCTATCAACTGCCACAGAGATCCACACTAAAACAAAATATGAAATGAGCACAGAGCATGGGGGAAGACTGCAGAAGTGGAGTGACAGCAACAGCCTTAAAGAAAAAGACATTTCTTTATGTAACGCTATGGAAAAAATACAATGAAAAACATTGCACTTAAGACACTGGATCAGAGTTATAAACTATTCTGCGTGTATTCCAATAAAATGTTTTCTTTCGTTTTATTTATGATGAAGAATTTGGTCAAAACGTTAAGTTGTATGCGTGCGAGTTTCCCTTTTCACTTCGTCAAGCTTTCTAGTCATTTTTTTTTTACTGCTTGTTTATTTAAGTATGTTACTGCTTTATTTGTTCTATCCTTCATGTTTTCAGGTGGCCAGTGCATGCAGCAGTGGTCAATGCCCACTACAATGTTTTGACCAATGAAATAAGTAAGTAGTTTCAAAATAACCTGTGTATTTTATGCGACTGAGTAAAAAGGGGTCTCCTTGACGCAGTGGCTAGTAATTGTGTTTTCGTTTAAGGTCGTCAAGTATTCGATTCTCTGTCATGTTAGAAAATCTTTCGAAGTGGATACGGCTTTCTGGGTAAATTCGTTTTGAAACTGGAACTAAGACCAAGACTAAACGCGGCAGTGAATCATGGACAGTTGGTGAATGAGTAAACATTTATTTGGAAGCTGAGATGGGGTTAAAGACGAATGATGTGAATACCCTAGACAGATAAAAAGAGTAAGATGTCTTGAAAGAAACTGACTCACGAAGGGAACTGATTGCCCCCATCAGAAAGAGACAATCTACATTATTCATTCATTCATCGTGTGTTGAGAAGGAGTAAACTGGAGTACATAGGGACAATAGAACGTTTGAGGGGCGGAGAGGCAGAGGGGGACCGAGAGAAGAGATGCTGGATACTGACATCAGGGCATGTATAATCATCTGGATCAGAACAGATTGAAAGTACATAAGATAAACATGGTTATGGATATACATGATTACCAATGCCACTCAGTATGGGCTTAAGAGAAAAACAAGGCCGGTCGAGCGGAGAATGTGAAGGAAAGGAGTTGGGGGGGGGGAGGGTGGGGGTGCCTTGGCTCAAACCTCCACTGACAGATCAAGAGCAAAAATTACCTTGGACGCTAGGTCGGACCGGAATGGGTACCAAGCAGTTGGGTGAAAAATTAAGGCGGGCACCGTGATATTATCCAAATCCCCCATCGAGCGCTGACTGGTCAGTGATAAGTATAAATCTAGCATCATGTGCCTAATACGCCATTGGCATGAATAAGGATTATTTACCTTTAGTTTTTTATTTATTCTTCACTACTGAAGACGGTTACTTTGTACTGACAATCAGTCCAGTCCGTTTAGCCGTGGATTTTTTTATTGGGGGGGGGGGGGGGGGGCGCTGTCACTATTTGAATACACAGGGGCAACATTGTTTCAATATATGTTATTGTCCATTCTGCCTATTGTGCTTATTTATTGTAAGATTAATTTGTTGCAGTTTTTCCTGCTGCATTTTTGCAAGAGCCAGTCTACAGCCCAGAATATCCTAGGTAAGTCAGCTAATTTTGTTAGTAAAGCAAAGGATCTTTATAATGTTAGTAGAGCTTCGTACATATGTTGCCGGACTCACATTTTTATAGACGCATCGGCGCTTAGTCATACAGTGCATTTAAGAGCAACAGATGATGTGGTTTGGTCATCTAATAAGAATACTTCTACTTCTTTCTTCTTTTCTTTACTCTCGGAATGCCTCGCAGCGTCAGGACAGGAACAGATCTCAGGAACTGGTCTTTCTGTTCGCTTCGTATAAAATACTTTTCAGTGTCTCTGACATTTCTCCGGTCCATATTCTGTGTGGTCAACCTCTAGGTCTGTTACCCCTGTATTTGTATAACATTACTCTCTGTGTTACTCTCCATACACCTACAGCAAACGCACCCATCAAAGACAAACAGGGTAAATTATTATTATCTGAAGAACAACAAAAGCAACGATGGGCAGAACATTTCAGAGAAATATTAAATAGGCCACAACCCGACACTGTTCCCAATATAGACGAAGAAGAAGCTATGCCCCCTCTAGATGCTACCTGTGAACCATTCACAATGTTAGAACTTAAATCAGCAATAAAAAAACTAAAGAAGAACAAGGCTTCTGGCGCAGATGAAATCTCAGCTGAAATGTTAAAGGCAGCAGACGAAAACACCTTACAATATTTGCTACAGCTGTTCAATGATGTTTTGGCTAAATGAATCCCCACCGCACAGTGGAAAGAAGGTGTTATATTCAAAACTGCCCAAAAAAAGGTGATTTAGCAGACTGCAACAACTGGCGTGGTATCACCCTACTCTCCGTACCAGGAAAACTGTTCTGCAGCATGCTAATGCAGAGACTGAAAAAAGCCAATAGATGCAAGACTCCGAGAAGAACAAGCAGGATTCAGACCGAATCGGTCATGCATCGACCATATATTCACACTCAGGACCATCGTAGAAAGAGTCAGTAGAGTTTCATCCCAACTCATCATCACTTTGTTGATTTTCAGAAGGCTTTTGACAGCATACACCGCCCTACACTCTGGAAGCTACTCACAATCTATGGTTTCCAAGATAAATATGTCAATATTATAAAGGCCTTCTACACCGATTCCCGCTGCCTTGTTAGAACGGAAATCTGGTAACTCTGATTGGTTCCCAGTAGAAACAGGCGTGAAACAAGGATGTGTCTTGTCACCGATGCTTTTTCGGAATAGCACTCGATTGGGTCATGCGCAAATGCACACAGGACACACATCTAGGCATCAAATGGGTCGACAAAGTTCTCGAAGATCTTGACTTTGCTGACGACCCTAGCACTCCTGAGCAACAACACTATCTAGAAGCTCAGGAAAAAAAATGACCGCCTCCAGAATATTTCAAGCCAAATCGGCCTTCAGGTCAACGCAGCCAAAACGAAAATCATCGATCTTACCAACGAGTCGAAGACATCAAACTAAAGGATATTTTTCTTGAAAAAATTACCAGCTTCACATACTTAGGGAGCAGATAACCTCTGCGGGAGATACAACATCAGAAATAACGACTCGAATCGCGTTAGCATCAAGTGCCTTTAACAAACTGTCAACATTTGGAAGTCAAGATCACTCAGCAACAACACGAAACTTAAGGTCTTCAATTCCTGTGTGATCCCAGTGCTAACTTATGGTTGTGAGAGTTGGAAATCATCAGTATCAATCGATAAGAAACTAGTCGCTTTCGAGAATAGATGCCTCCGAAAGCTATTGAATGTTCACTGGTCGGACTTTAGGTCCAATACATCTATAAAGACAGGAACAAAACAAAAATATGTGTCTGATTTTTATTAGAATGCGTCGCTGGAATTACATCGGTCACGTACTCAGAATGGACATACAGAGACTTCCCCACCAAGCCTTCATATGGTCACCAGAGGGTAAAAGAAAACAGGGAAGACCAAAAGAAACTCTCCGTAGAACCATCACAAGGTAGAGCTCAACCATATGTCTCAGTCGCACTCAAGACCTACATCAAGTGGCAACGAACCGACAGACGTGGAAAGCTATGACCTCTGCCCTATGCGCCATCTTTGGCACAAGAGGAATAACTAACTAACTAACTCTCTGTGGTGTCCTGTCTGCCGAAAATCTGTTTACATGGCCAAACCATTTGATTTGTTGTCTACCGATAAAGTTTAGTATTGGTTCTATGCCAACTCTCCTGCTGATATCATCGTTCCGAAGTCGATCTTTTATCGTTACACCTAGCATAGTAGGTAAACATTTCATTTCTGAATACTAACGATGCAAGATACGCCACGGTGATTATCGGCGCAGGCTAACAAAGTATGCGAAGACGACTATTCCATGCAAACTTTTTTTCCAGTTATTTCCCGCCCATCAAAATACAGTCAGTGTATGATTTCCCTTTCTAAAGCCTCCTAGCTAATGCCTCATTCAACTGTCAAGTGCTTAAGACGTTCTCTTAGAAATGATACCGCAATAGATTTTATTTGTTACTGAAAGTAGTGTTCTACCTCAACAGGCAATACAGTTTCCTAGATCTCTTTGGTAGTTTGGTATTGATACAATTGGTATACACCCGTGGACTTTCTTCCTTGTCCCAGATTTGTGAAAACATTTTGGTCAGCAGTTTTAGTGTTCCTCTCTCTCCCACTTTCAACGTCTATGTGGAACTTTCATCACTTCCAGGAGCGTTATTAATCTTGACATCTCTAATAACCTCTCCAAACTTCCTTCTCTAAAAATGGCTCTAAGCTCATCTGCATCTCCTCGGCCTCAGGTTTATCCACAAGTTAATGTGAGAATAGCAGTTTAATAACTTCTAGATGTGTTCTTTCCATCTTTCAAATCTTCCGCTGTCTACAGTCATCTTTCCATTCCTAAATTTCAGAAACAAATTTTGCAGCGATACGATATTTTCTTTCCGTTGTGCCCTTTGCTCCCACACTATTAGGGATATCCACTCTTCATTCTTTGGTCGCCTTTATTCTTATTTTTCTCCCATGCTAATCCGATTACCACACACAATTCGTTTTGTGAAATGGTAAATCCGTTTTAGTTCTCTCCAGAACTGTGTTTTTTGTTGTTGTTTATTTCAAGTTTTTTTTTTTTTTTTTTGGTGGTTTTTTTAACAACGGACCAACATCATGCATGGCACACGGGTAATAACCAATAAGTGCTCAGTTCTTCTTCTAACTCATGTCTAAGTCCAAAAACACAGTTCACAAAGCACAGTGCACAGGCTCTGTAGCACCGGCGAGGGTCCTGAATGAAATACTTTAGGTAGATTTTTAACTCCAAACTTTTCCATCGTAAGGCTACTCTTTTCGATTTCCAACTGCCAATGGACTTTTTTACGTGCGCAACAATGCACACGGGCATCCGATCTCACAACCCAGAGACTGGGGGGGGGGGGAGGGGGGAATTACTGAAAGTCCAAGTCCACGAGAAAAAACATCCTAGCCCTTACTGGGAATTTATCCCAGAACCTCTGGCACTCGAGGCGGACACCATGCCTCCAGACCACGCAGCACCCCCCCCCCCAGAAGTGTTGTTTGATTTGAGCATCTTCATTTTGCTATATCAAATCTCAATTATTTTTTGCAACAAATGGATTGGGGACAGACAAAAAAGGCTTGAATGTTGGGTGCAGCTATGGCAGTTTTAGAGAGTTAGAAACGATGAGATGACAGTACACGAAACAGTGTGCTCAGTTCAGAATAATTCGACCAAAATGTCCAATTTAGTATGTGTGAATGTGTGTGTGTGTGTGTGTGTGTGTGTGTGTCTATGTCTGTGTGTGTGTGTGTGTGTGTCTGTGTCTGTGTGTGTGTGTGTTAAAATGTATAAATGTAAAGCTCCAGGCAGAGATTGAATTCCTATTGAGATAATCAGGAGTGGGAAAGACACTCTGCTGGCAAATGGGACTGGTTTAAGGCCTAAAAAAGCAAGCATTATAACTGTGTACAAGGTTGATCGGAGTGAATGCAATAACTACAGGAGACTATCACCGCTGAGAACTGTTGGAAAAGTACTTGCGAGAACTGTTCTGCAGAAACTCTAGATCCCGGGAGACTGGGTTTACCCAGAGTCCCAGTGTGGCTTTCGTGGGAACCCGGTCTACCACTGATATTATATTTTCATTTCGACACTTGCAGGAAAAATGCCGCGAACAAAATCAACCACTGTATGTTGCTTTTGATTTGGTTAGTCGAAAAGGTTTGTTCAATACACTGTAGAAGATTGGGTGTCTACCTACCCAACTCAGCACTGTTGAGTAGTTTCACACAGGTATGAAAGGTGCAATCAACTTTGAGTGTGTAACATCGAAGGAGTTTATCATCAAAAATGGTGTGAAGCAAGGGTGTTTCCCTGCTCCTTCCCTCTTTGGAATATATTTTTCACTTGTTTTATTACAATTTTGAAATAATTCTTTCTGACTTGGACAATGTGTAAAACTTGCATTCATTGTTTTTAATTTCCTCCAGCTCGATGAATTATGGAGCTATAGGAATGATCATTGGGCATGAAATCACTCACGGATTTGACACCACCGGTAGGCTGTTTCAATATTTCTTCCCCAGAGCTGAGATCTTATCATGATAATTTTCCCTAAGGACCAGTTGGATAGAGAATTGGCAAATCTATTTCATTTGAAGAAGGAATGTCCGGACATATATATAATTTGTTTCATAGAATTCTGGCACGAGTTTCAATGTTTATAATTGTTTTCTACATCTCCTCCTTCTCAATCTTTTGTTGTTGTTGTTGTTGTTTTGTTCTTCTTCTTCTACTTCTTCTTCTTTTCTTCTTCTTCTTTTCTTCTTCTTCTTCTTCTTCTTCTTCTTCTTCTTCTTCTTCTTCTTCTTCTTCTTCTTCTTCTTCTTCTTCTTCCTCATCCTCCTCCTCTACTTGTCGTCGTCCTTCATTTCCCCCACCTCTTTTTCCTCTCTTTCTTCTCTATGTTTTTCTCCACCTTCCTATTGAGCAAAGGGTAAAGTTCATTATATTTTCTGGAGTAGCCGACATGTGATTATCCCACCCTTAATCGCCTCTTATGACATGCGATGTTGGGTCAAGTTATCAGCTCTCTGTTGGTTCCCCACCCTCTGGCTAACGTTTGCAACACTTAGCTGGTGTTTGGCCTGTCTAATATGAACAAACTGACACCCAGTTAAAACCCTCAGTTAGAGACCTCAGGCTTCACCAAATACCGATCATCATCAGTCAGCAGGTCCTTTACAGAACGTCGCTCTCCTAAGTTGGGTTAAGTCGAGTCAAGAATTAACATCACAGCACTCAGTGAATTCCCATGCGTGCTCCGTCCTCATCTTTAGCAGCCAGCGCAGAGTTACAATAATGTTGGCACAGGTCACAATCCAAAGCCAAAAACAAAACTAAAAATTCTGAAAGCACATGAGGCGGGAGATATGGCGAGAGACTGAGTTTTCTTTCAAGCAGCCGTGATAACGGGACGCTCCGCAAAGGAACGATGAAGATCAACAAATAATATAAAAGAGCACCACTGCACGCGATCGGGAGGCCAACTTGACCTCTTTGCAAATTTTCTAGATAGGTGATGAAAGGGAGTCTCCGGTGCGGTTGGGGGGGGGGGGGGGGGGAGTCACCCAGATTCCCTAAAATCTGTGTTTGGGGCGCCCAAACAACCTGAGCCTTCAGGTTCCGATGCCCCTGAATCAGTTCTGTTACCATTGTTATTAAAATTCTTCCCGTCATATAAAGGTCTGGGAATTATTTTAGAGCCAGTATATATTAGTTTCAAATTACAACCGCTTGTACCGAATAAGTTAAAGTAAGAACTGTTCAGAAGTAAAGTGTTTACACAAAAAAAGAGCTGTATATTTATTTTAGAGTTTATATCTGGCTGCTAATCCTACGTAGTTAGTAAACAAGTAAAAAAAAAAATAAAGAATTGATTTTATTGAAGAATGCCTACAATTTCAGGGACAGCCGTAAGGATTAACGCAAATGTTTTGAAAGAGTTGAGAGGACCGGAAGACAACTTATCAAAAGCATCAGAAAGAGACAGTCATTTGTGGCTATGTGCAAAGATGGTTATGTTTAGAGGAAGGCGACGCGAGAAAATTCGTGAGAGCCTTTTGTTATGTCTTTTCAATCCATGTTTCTTCTTGTTCTGATAGACGTATGTACACAATTTCAGGTAGTACATACAATGCTATAGGCGAACACAGTAACTGGTGGACGGACAAGGATAAAGAAAACTTCAAATCTCTGACTGAATGTTTTGTGAACCAGTACGGCTGCTATAAGTGGGATGGCTATAATGTAAGTTCATCATCCTCATCATCATCATCAACTATTTCTACCGTTAAGCGACGTGGGGAGAAATAATGTGAGATCCAGTGCACGTTGGCTGGCACTGTCTACTGTCATGACATGAAGGCGTAAAGTGCCTTTGATGTTGTCGATGAATATTTTCGTTGCTGTTCACTTGATCTTGTAACTGATGTTCTGTAATGGTATTTGATGCTGCTACATTCTAACGAGATAATCAGACCACTTGTTCTGCTATTTCTCAATGAATCTATTACACAATTTTATTCTCACAATCTGTCTCACGGTATATTTATTCACTCAGTCTCATATGGCTACGTTGGCTAATTTTCTTAGGCATCTCGTTTCGCAAGTGATTTTGCGTATATGAGTTTTATGTAATTACGTCATTTCTAGGGAGGGGGGGGGGAAGAGTCAGAGCAAAAAGCCTTTTCAATATCTTCTTCTTCTTCTGCCTTTTTAGCCCCCAATGGAGCATAGGCCCTCAACCAACTCACGCCAAGTCGTTCTATCCTTCGTCATTGCATGGAGCTCTCCCCATGTCCTCCCAATCTTTCTAACTTCATATGTCCTCCCAATCTTTCTAACTTCATTCTCCAGCTGTCGTCTCCATGTATTTTTTGGCCTTCCTTTATTCCTATGCCCCTGTGGGTTCCAATGCGAAGACATTCTAGTTATGCTGTTCCCCTGTTTTCTCAGTGTGTGTCATATCCAACGCCAGCGTCTTTTCCTCACCTCTTGGCCCACTGGAGCCTGTTTAGTTCTCTCTCAAATTTCTACATTAGTTATTCTATCATACCATTTAATTCCCTCTATTCTGCGCAGGCACCAGTTAATGAATGTCTGTAATTTATTAGTAATTGCCTTCGTTGTTCTCCATGTTTCCGCCCCATACAATAGTACTGATTTGACATAAGAATTAAAAATTTTTAGTTTAGTATTTCTTTTAATTTCTTTTGACCTCCACAAATTCCCTAGTGCTATGAAAGCCCCCTTTGCCTTTTGTATTTTTTTTTTTAATATCTCTATCAGTTCCCCCATCTTTATCTACATTACTGCCCAAAAAGGTGTACGATTCCACGTCTTCGAGTGGGGTGCCATTAAGAGAAACCACATTACTATTTGCCTGATTTATTCTCATTATCTTTGTCTTTCCTGTATGGATTTTCAGATCAAGCTGCTGTGATCTCGAATCAAGTATATTTAATATATCTTGCATCTGGTTCAGTGAATGGGACAGAAGAGCAATATCATCAGCGAAGTCCAGATCATCAAGCTGTTTTATAGGGGTCCACTGAATTCCATTCTTGGTTATCTTTTCATAATCCAGTCTATAGCCAGTAAAAAAAGAGAGGCGACAAAAGACATCCCTGTCGCACACCTGTTTTAATTTCCAATGCATCTGTTAGCTTTTCCTCATGACGAACTCGACATTTCATGTCTTTATATGTTGCCTTTACTAAGTTGATAATTTTCCGGGGGATTCCATAGTGTCCCATCAATTTCCAGAGAGATTCCCTATCAATGCTGTCAAAAGCTTTTTTTTATAGTCTATAAATCCAATGTAAAATGGTGAGTTCAGCTCAATGCTTTGCTCCATTATAATACGTAATGTGGCTATCTGGTCAGTACAGGATCTGTTTGACCGAAAACCTGCCTGCTCATCTCTTAGCTTTTTATCAATAGCATCTTTAAATCTTTCCAAAATAATTCTACTTAATATTTTTCCAGGAACTGACAGCAACATAATTCCTCTATAGTTTTCACACTCCTGTAGATCACCTTTTTTGGGCAGTTTCACAAGATATCCTTCTCTCCAGTCTGCTGGTATTTCTTTGGTCTCCCAGACTTTACTGAATAATCTATGTAGCAATTCTGTTAATGTGTTTAGGTTTGCCCTGGTGGCTTCAGCTGGGATAACATCTGGGCCTGCCGCCTTTCCTTTCCTTGAGAAGATTGATAGCTTTTCTAATTTTATTTTTGGATGGTATCTCACAGTTGAAATCCAGTTCCATTTTTAAAGGCTGGATATCTGGGGGAACCCTTGGGCCTGGTCTAGAAGCATTTCAAAATATTCCACCCATCTGTTCATTTGATCTTTAGTGTTAGTTAGTACTTTTCCACTATACTTACTTAGAAATTGCGGCGTCCGTGGATTAGGCGTTGGAGTCCGACTCGTCATTCCAACATACCGTGATCGAAACCCACAGCTGGCTGAGTGGAGTTTTATCATGGTCTAGGGGGTCGCAGGTCCACCCTGCCTAAAATGGGTACCAAGATGTATATCGAGGGAAAGAAAAGACGGCCCTCGTAATGCTGACCACATTACCGACCTATTGCCGGTTGGTCTGTAAACATGTGGGCCCGATGCCCCTAAAGACGTGAAAAGTGATCTCTACTTACTTTACTTTACTCAGAAATCAGAATCCTCCGATATTTTGAGCACGTAAATTCGCAGGCGGTTTTGATAAAGAAGACATAAAAAGCGGAGGTTTACGAATCTGCATTACGCACCATACTTACAACACAGAGACACTGTTCGTGTCGGCATGGAAAGCTTGCATCAATTTCAGAGCAGAGCAAACCTCTTTTGAAATGAGCAGACTATATTTTCAGATTTAATTAAATAAAAAAAGTTGTCATTTTTCTGCATGTAAAATCAGTCCTGCAAGAGAAATACGATACAAATCAAATTTCTCTTTACATCATTTCTTTTACAAAAAAAGTATATTCCAAAGCAAGAAATAGACTTGAAATCTTGCGGCAACTAGCAAGATTGAAAGAAAGTAAACAATGGGAAAGCAATGAGATGAACATATTGATGGCCATGCATGGGGTGGGACAAGAGCACCAACAGATCTGCTTTAGAGATATCCTATATTTACCATGTTTGGGTTCCCTTATCCTGGCTATTATGGTGTGTTGGGAAAGCAACATACAGATAGACCGGCTGGCGCTGCACCACTGGGTGGAAAATTGATGCATGATAAGCTAAATGTGGTCAAGGTCATTTTGAAACACGTGAGCAATGTGAAAGTGCGAACAGATCATTACTGTGTTGCAGCAGAGAGTGACCAAGAGACACTCTACAGCCAGAGGAAAGACGAGGCAAACATAGAATCAAACTGCTACTAGCGCCATCAATATTGCTACTCTATGCTGGCTGTTGAAAATGAGGAAGAGCGCTTATGGAAATGCCTCGAGTGCTGTGATGCCGGTTTCTAACCCAATGCAACTCAAATCATTCGACAATGGTATTGAGATCGGACCTTTGAGAGAGCGATGGCAAACTACTAAACGTTTAAATTGCTTTGTAATACCACTGTCAACCAGCAAATGCTGGGACTAGCTTACAGTGTCATATAGGTTTGAGGATACGCAACTAACATTAATAAAATTACAGTTATCTAAATATTTACAGTTGGATGGACAGAGAACACTTGGTGAGAACATTGCTGACAATGGTGGACTTAAGCAGAGCTTTAGAGTAAGTTGTTGTCTGTTACATTCAAAACAGTTTAAAATGTCTTCTTCTTCTTCTTCTTCTTCTTCTTCTTCTTCTTCTTCTTCTTCTTCTTCTTCTTCTTCTTCTTCTTCTTCTTCTTCTTTTTCTTCTTCTTCTTCTTCTTCTTCTTCTTTTTCTTCTTCTTCTTCGTCTCCTCCTCCTCCTTCTTTCTTCTTCTCCTTCGCTTCCTATTTTACATCTTCGTGTGTCGAGGGAATTATAAGTCTACGTTTCTTACTATTCTGGCCGCATCGACCATACACATCGTGCTATTGCAGTTTCTATGATAATATTTTCCCATATTGTTCTGGATATACTTTCTGCTCTATTTCCTTCTCTTTTTGTGTATGCATTGTATGGTATGACGTCACAAGTCATTCTCTCTAAATGGGCAGACCATTTAATTTGCTGTTTTTGTGTGTTTAGAATTTACTCTGTGTCAACCTTTTCACTGTCCATTTATATCACTTAATTTATTTTACAAAGGATGTTTTGGGGAAGTTTCTTCTTATTAATATTTGTTATTATTATTATTATTATTATTATCATTATTATTATTATCATTATTATTACTGTTACTATACTTCTTTTTCTTCTTCTTCTACTTCTTTTTCTTCTTCTTCTTCTTCTTCTTCTTCTTCTTCTTCTTCTTCTTCTTCTTCTTCTTCTTCTTCTTCTTCTTCTTCTTCTTCTTCTTCTTCTTCTTCTGCTTCTTCTTCTTCTTGTCTTCTTCTTCTTCATTAACTTCAGAAAACTATTAGTCAATAGCCTTTCAGGATATGCTTGTTTAGGGAAAAATGTCTATAATTACCCCTGTAACTCGTATCGGTGTTTTGCAGGTTAATTACTTCTATACCCTGTTTCTCACAAATTCTAACTTTTTAGAATGAAGTTTCCTTTTGAAAAGGCTCCCCTCTTTTTTTCAGGACAATTTAAATATAAATAGTTTCTTTATCTGCATTTTAAGTCAGTTGTTGCATTGTTTTATTTCACAGGCATACCGAAATTTGGTCAAGCGTTTGGGAGGTGAAGAGCCTAGATTACCTGGACTCAATTTGAACAATAATAAAGTCTTCTTCCTAAGTTTTGCTCAGGTACTATCCAACGCCAGCGTATTTTTCTCACCACTTGACTTACTAGAATTTATTTAGTTCTCTATCAAAGCTTAACATTGGTAATTCTGTCATACCATGATAAATCTAAATTTAGCCTTACTTTAGCTTTGAATGTAGAATCCGCATCAGAACATACTTTTATAGTTGAGCTAGGGTGTCGTCGACTTAGTCTCACATGGGTACAGTGTCATGGTAATTGAAGGCGGACAGCTTGATGCTGAGCAATGGCCGGATTTATTCTTGATGAGGTTCCAAGTAATTTAAAGCCCTGAAGCCCCTACAGCTTTTTAATTACCGAAAACAAAAATCAAAGACAATTTTAAAATATATACGTGTTTTTAATACTTGAATAAATACAGCAAAATTTTGTTTAATTTTTATTAAAATAAATTTTAAAAAATTATGTGTTTGCAATATCACAGAAGTTATGTGACATAATTCATAAAACTTTTTTTTTTTAATTAGGAGAAATTTGCATTTAAAATAAAATAAAAGAAAATTGCAATTGTGAAAAAAAATATTAATTTTTGTGACCCTGCATACTGCGATACTCTTATCATCATCATGTAGTAGGTCCTTTGCATAACGTCGCTCTCATCACGGTCTGCGTGAAAGAAACTCGGTCTCTCGCCAGCTGTCCCGCCTCATGCACTTTCATACTCAAGGAGTCACTTATATCCTGTACCCATCTTTGTGTCGGTCTGCCCCTGTCCCTCCTTCCTGGCACCATGCCTTCTGCTATAATTTTTTTCCAATCCGTCGTGTCTCTTGATATGACCAAAATATTTCAGCTTCCAAGACAGGATGCTGTTTATTAGCCAATCTTCCTTGATGTTCAGATCTTTCAAGATGTCAGTATTTCTCATCTTCTTTGTCTAAGATATTCTGAGAATCTTTCTATAGCATTTCAGGTCAAAAGCTGCTTGACTCTAAAGAGCTGATTTAGCTTAACCTAAATCCAACACTGTGTTAGTCACAACAACCATCGAGTGTCGAGATCAATCTGATACACATTTGTATGAGAATCATTGTGAATGTGAACACTAAAAGAACACTGGTCAGCACAGTATTCTCACCAACGTAATGCTATCGACAGTAAAAATATCACAGACACTAAAATGTACTTTATACGAAGCGGACAGAAGGGCCTGTTCCATATATCTCTTCCTGTCCTGACGTGGCGAGGCATTTCAGGAGTAGAGAAAAGAAGAAAGAAGAAGTGTTCACTAAAGTTCCACACATCGGCGTAAAAACAATCCTGCATTTGTTGAGGACAAAGCCTGGACTAGTAACTATTGGTAGTGACGTGGACCTGTTCTCAGCAGCACAGGTTCAATTTTGAAACAATGTGTGTTCATTCATGATCCGCTCATCATCATAATTTAGCAGTTATCTTGCAGAACGGCACGGCATTCCAGACGAAAACTACCAAACTGAACAAAAAGTAGAACCCTTCAGCTTCACAATGTCACAAACACAAACGACAAGTGAACGTTGCTACTAAAGAGCCTGTATCAGAACATTACATAAATCTACAATACCACAAGTACGAACGAATCACTTAACTGACATATCTCTGATAGGAATCACATTTCTGTCTGACCAGTTTATCTGACACGTGGCCAGCTTTTTTGTCCTCATATCTCATATCCCATAGTCTGGTAGTCTTAGTTTCAGCTTCATAGCAAACGGGTCACCCCATCGTTGCTCCGCTCCTGTGCCAAAGAAAAACACATAGAAAGTTTATCACAGTTCCTTGTGGAAAGATTGACAGACCGCTGTCTCAGCATATCTAGCATACACACTGTCATCCGAAGTGCTAACACAAACAGTCCGACATTAGAAATGCAGTTGATCATTTATGGTAGCAGAAGTCACCAACATATTAGCAGGTGCACACGCGATCAATTTAAATCACATACTGGCACCAACAACATTGCGACTACAGGCATCGCGCCATTTTCTGAATCTACAATTCACACCACCACGTTGGTCACATTAAAAAAAAAATTCCGAATGAAATCCGCAGCTCACAGTGTCACGCCATGCATTCAACTTAGAAGCTGGGCGACGAAACTAAATCCAGTCTACAAATGGAGCAAGACTGCAACGGCCACTGTCCGGCAGAAGCAAAAAATGTGCCTCGGCTCCAAACAGTGCCCCTGCCTAGCGTTCATTTTGACCGACTTTTAAATCCATACAACTAGCTTCCTTGTGCTGGTTGGCTCCTATCTTCTTTTCTTTTTTCAAGTAAACACGCTTATTAAGTAATGGCAAACTACACAAACACACGCACACACACACGCACACACACACACACACACACACACACAAGTACGAATAACATTACTTAATGAACAACCACCAGCATTTGCCGGGATTAATTTTTATGGTATCCTGTAGAATTTTGTATCTCCCTTTACTGTTCTTTCTAAGTCACTGAAATCTTTAATGTCTATAAGTATTCCAAAATCCGAAGCATGGAGTTACCTCAATAAGATCCTTCCATTTTCAGACCATGTAGAATAGTAAAATTTCTTCTTCTTCTTATGAACTTATGAAACATTTACATTCAAAAGTCAGTTTTCTTCTTCAGTTAAAAAAAAAGTCTCAATCTGCACAAAAGGGACATTCCATACAAAACATGTTCATTCCGACACAGTGTTTCATGTTCTATACGTAGTTACTTACAACAGCTGCGAAGGGAAAAACTCATTAGTAACCACAGGAGTTAGATATTTAGGAAAGACTGCAGGGGTGAAAAGAAGACAAAAATTCAAAAATTAAGTTATAAAAGAAAAAGCAGACACAGAACCAAGTCTAAATTACACAGATGGGCAACAAATACAGTGGTGTGTCCACGTAGAAAGAATGCACTCTGACGCCACAACATTCAAAGTAAGGGAAAGTCTAGACGCACATACAATCAGACAGTTACAGGTGCCATCGGAAATGGAACTCTTTGCTTGCTGCTGAAGATTGGGACGAAGCGCTTTTAGAAGTGTCCTGCTTTCTTCATTAAACATACAAACTTTCCGAGGATAAACTTTTTTTTAAAGGGGGAGGGGGCGTACAGCACAAAGTAAAAACAAGATGGAAAGATATATGAGAGAAACATGACAACATTACCTATATGTCTATAGTCAAGCTGGTCAGAAGGGCAAAAACCAGAGACATAACTTCTTCGACACCTAAAGCAGTTAACGTAAGTGGTTGAGAGAGTGAGTGAGTGTATTTGTGTGTGTGCCGGGGTGTGTATGTGTGTGCGAGACAGAGAGAAAGAATGTGTGTGTGTGTGTGTGAGAGAGAGAGAGAGAGAGAGAGAGAGAGAGAGAGAGAGAGAGAGAGAGAATTGTGACTCAGATCCCTACGTTGTAATTGTTTTCATGTGAAATTCACTTTAGTTTAGTGATGTAGTAATGCAGTCTTTAACCAGCCAGGCATCTAATATCTACAATATGTTTTAAGTAACAACTATCTAAGTTATTGTTGTCTGTTGCAGGTGTGGTGTGCTAAGTATCGTGAAGAGCACAAGAAGGAAGTCATAGAGTCAGATGTCCATACAGCGTCTCCTTACAGGTATTCTTCTTCTTCTTTGCGTTGACCAGCTGTAAACTCTGGTGGAAAGTTTTGTTTGTTCGTCCACTTTTGCACTGCAGTCCTGTTCCAGAACCTGAGGTTTGCGTGTGCATCCGTTTGACAGATCTGACACGTTTGTTTGCAGACTGCTGACTCCTTGCCTCTCAGGCAGATGCACTCCGACTTCAAAGGAAGCTCATAATTTGTCGACTCTTACGACATGCTTTTAGGTAGGCAGTGGGTCTATTCCTGTTTTGCCTATAATAGTGCCCCGGAACCCACACGGGGGACAGGTATTCAAACCATTGAATCATTCTAGGATATAATTACAAGATATGATATAATCACTTATGTTGAGCTTCGGGGGAGAACCAAATAAATGACACAATAAATGAGGATGTTAGAAAAAGACGCTGCCGTTGGATAGCAGACACATTTAAAACACCTGAGAACAATGTAACTAGAAGAGCTTTAAGCTGGAGCCCACTATGTAGGAATATTGATAGACCCAGCATCATGGGAAAAGAAACTAAAGAAGGAAGTCAAAACCAGGGGGACGACTACAGGCTAAATCAAAGGATAGGACGATGGCATGAGTTGCTACAATGCCTATGCTCCACTGGGGAGGAGGATAAATGGCAGCAGAAGAAGAACATATAATTAAATTATTATTACTGTTTAAAAACGACGGCATTAAATATTAAGGTAGTCCTGTAATGAAAATGTCGGCGTCTGTTTTTTAGGCGTTGCGAACACGCTTCTTAATGCTGGGGTGCCGGGTTCGATCCCAGCTGCGGACGATTTGTTTTGCTTTGATTTCGACAGTGATATCGAGAGCTGATGGTGCAGTAGGCATGACAAATTACTGAACTTAAGATTTGCCTAGAAAAACCACAACAACCAAAATAAAAAAAGAGGGGCGGGGGGCGTTGATTCTACAACGTCCTGTAAGGGATAGGCAACTAACTTAGTCCTATATCACAATGTCCACTGCTAAAGTAAAGGACTCTCTTCTGCTTATTCAGGCGTATTAGTCATATAGTGCAAGACATATATTTTATAGAACAATCGTCACTCCCTGTGTGATGTTAACAGCATCATGCGGGGCGTCTTTACGTCCTAGGACTTTACCGGGTACTCATTTAAGACTGGGTGGACTTGGAAATCAAGGTCATTTTTGAAACAAAGGCAGTCTCCGTTCAGATTTGAACCCACACTTTTCAGATCCACATGACAGCGTCTAGCCGCTACACCACGGCGGTTTCCGCCCAGTGTAAGGCCTTCACATTTTTTACTTCACTACGTACTGGGTCTTTACTGCCGGTTGTTCGCTATATTTTTAGGGCTGTGTATGAAAAGAGGGTCATGAGTCTGAGGTTTTAGGGCTGTTTATGACAGGAGGGTCATGAGTCTGAGGTTTTAGGACTGTCTATGACAGGAGGGTCGTGAGTCTCAAGTTTTAGGACTGTGTATGACAGGAGGGTCACACGTCTGAAGCTTTAGGGCGTGTATGACAGAAGGGTCAAATGTCTGAGGTTTTAGGACTGTGAATGACAGGAGGGTCACACGTCTGAAGTTTTAGGACTGTGTATGACAGGAGGGTCATGAGTATGAGGTTTTAGGACTGTGGATGACAGGAGGGTCATGAGTATGAGGTTTTAGGACTGTGGGTGACAGGAGGGTGACAAGTCTGAGGTTTTAGGACTGTGGATGACAGGAGGGTCATGAGTATGAGGTTTTAGGACTGTGTATGACATGAAGGTCACAAGTTTGAGACTTTAGGACTGTGTATGACATGAAGGTCACAAGTTTGAGACTTTAGGACTGTGTATGACATGAGGGTTGCAAGTTTGAGACTTTAGGACTGTGTATGACATGAGGGTCTCGAGTTTGAGACTTTAGGACTGTGTATGACATGAGGGTCGCGAGTTTGAGACTTTAGGACTGTGTATGACATGATGGTCGCGAGTTTGAGACTTTAGGACTGTGTATGACATGAGGGTTGCAAGTTTGAGACTTTAGGACTGTGTATGACATGAGGGTCGCGAGTTTAAGACTTCAGGACTGTGTATGACATGAGGGTTGCGAGTTTGAGACTTTAGGACTGTGTATGACATAAGGGTTGCGAGTTTGAGACTTTAGGACTGTGTATGACATGAGGGTCGCGAGTTTGAGACTTTAGGACTTTGTGTGACATGAGGGTCACAAGTTTGAGACTTTAGGACTTTGTGTGACATGAGGGTCACAAGTTTGAGACTTTAGGACTGTGTATGACATGAGAGTCACAAGTTTGAGACTTTAGTACTGTGTATGACATGAGGGTCGCGAGTTTGAGACTTTAGGATTGTGTATGACATGAGGGTAGCGAGTTTGAGACTTTATGACTGTGTACGACATGAGGGTCGCGAGTTTGAGACTTTATGACTGTGTATGACAGGAGGGTCACAAGTTTGAGTCTTTAGGACTGTGTATGACAGGAGGGTCACAAGTTTGAGTCTTTAGGACTGTGTATGACAGGAGGGTCATATGTCTGAGAGTTTAGAGCATCATAGCTAGTGCAGTCGCAAAAAAATGTGCAGATTATATTTTTGTATCTGGCAAATAGCTGGTTAAACTAGAACATTATGTACAGCAATGAAAAGGAGACAAAGTTCTTTGCTCATGTGGTGAGAAAAGGATCACTGGAAAATATCGTGACGACTAGAAAGATCTCTGGTAGAAGAGGCAGAGGCAGACCGAGAGAAATGATTGTCGACGGCTTAAGACAGTAGCATGGAGGAATATTATTAGTGAAATTGGTCCAGAACATTAAAGACTAGGATTTGTGAAGACATGCGAACCGTTACGCGAGTTTCAATCTTATTCTGATCATTAGATATTTAATATATTATTGTGTTTTTTAATCTTATTCTTGCACTTGGTCCACCTTGGTGTTTTAATGTTATTCTAATATTGAGATATTTGCCATATCAAAGTGTTTAATCTTATTCTCATAGTTAGATATTTAGTCCAACGGGATGTTTGTTGTTGCTGTTGTTGTTGTTTTAATTTTTCCCACATGTTTATCGTTCTTTCCATCAGAGTATTTGGAACTCTTCAGAACTCACAAGACTTTGCAGATACCTTTCAATGTCCACCAGAAAGTCGTATGAACCCAACTAGGAAGTGTGTGCTGTGGTGATAGTAAAACGCGCTAGCTTTTATTTTAACCAATATTTTCTCCAATTTAATTAACTCAGATTTTCATGGGTATTAGTTTAAACGTTTAAAGGGCAATTATTGGATAATAGTCTAGTATTAAAATATGTAATTTAATTATATTACATTTGGAGGGTCCATTGTTTTGAAAGCGTGATTTAGAGTACCTATATAGAATAATTATTGCCATTTTAGGGTGTTTTACACGTTTGTTTATTAAGTATGAAATATCTTATTGTAGTTTTGAAAGCGTAACAATGTTATGCACGTTTCATAAACATATGTATATTTAAATAATGCGGACACAAACAACGCATTGCATTTTTTTTTTTTCTGGCATATTTCAATGTATCTCGTAACGTATATTACCACAGAGTTAAAATAACAAATCATGAAGCACAAAATGAATCCTTTACAACTTTGCAGTAATGCACCTGACGAGACGTAGCGAAATATGGTTAAGGTTAGTTGCGTATCCTTTACAGGACGTTGCAGAACCAACCCCAGCAGACCCTGGCTGTTGTATGGCTTCTCTAGGCAAATTTACGTCCAGTAGTTTTCCATTGCTTTCTGGACGGTCGGCCCCCTGATACCACTGTCGAAACCAACTCAAGGCACATGGCCCGCAGCTGGGATCGAACCTGTCACCCCGGCATTACGAAGCGTTCGCATTGACTTAGCCATAGAGCCGACTAGCAAAATATGACAGACAATAAACTGTGCAATGTGTTGTTTATGTCCGCATTATTTGAAATTTACAACAGAAATTATTTTTTTCAACATATATCTCTCACTTTCTGTTAGAAATTGTATGTTACTTCTAATCTGAAACATAGAAATACAATCTGATTGTCTGATTCCTCCACAGCATGTTAAGCCAAGTCTTGTGTAGCAGTTAAAAATTAAAACCTTTTAAGAGGTTGAAGCGAGTATTTGAAATTTCGCCTGTTGAATGTGCATCAAAATGCGACTTTTAGTATCAGACCTTTAATTAGTAGCCTTGAGGATTAAAGCTGTCAGTTAAACATTGGCTCGCTACATTTGATAAATAGCATTGTTATTTTTTGATGTTCCCTGTCATTACACCGAGCACGAACTTCTTAGCTTCAGCGACAACCTGCAGGTCGTCTTCACTAACCTCCACTCGTTAACAGCCCACGGCTAGTGTTCGAAACCGGGTGGTTCCGGGGTTCATCTGGCCTCTAGGTAATGGGTACCATAGTTAACACCTTGGGGTCAATGGAGGAACGTCGCTGTTGCTACGGAGTCGCGTGCGGATGGCGACACAGGAGAACAGTGTCTTATCAGCTGCCAGTACTGGTGCAAAGCACTTTTGGTTTATAACTGTGTGCAATGACACTGGTTCACATCTCCCGACTTTACTTATACTTTTTACCTTTAATAAATACTTAAAAAGTAGAATCATTATTATTACTACAAATAATAGGCATAATACTGTAGTTTTCTCTGTTATACTATCCAGTTGGTTTAATGAGGTTTGGACATTTGACTGTTATGCGAGTATTATAGATTTATTGTTTTCATTACTGGTACAAATACTTCATGTTATGTGCATTTAAAAATATCGTTAAAAACCTATTATATATAAACATCTATATAGTAGCTTGTAGTAGTTTGATGTAACTGGGCGTAAATTCTCGCATACTTGGGTTTGTGTGAACTTATCATTAATGTATACATTTTGTGATAAATATAATCAAGGTTTACGTTACATTTTCTTCAAAAGTAATTGTCAGTGTTTAGTATTTTAATCTATATAAAAATGTAAATGTGCATATTTAGACACTCTTGGTACGGTAAAACATTGATTAACCATCACCGACCCGACCAGCGCTGTGACAGAAAACCGAACAGACAGATAATAGAAATCTCTGAGTACATATGCTCAGTCATGTGAAAACAGTATGTCACACAACAGCCACTGGTTAGTGATGAGTTTATAACGCGACAGATCAAACTCAATTTCTCGCCATCACACAGTACAGTCACTTCCAACTTTGCACAGTAGGATGTAAAAGTAATAAGTAGACAATTTTTTAAATGACGATAGGCATCTTTTTAAAGATGATGACGGATAACAGAAACTGGCGGTTTAAATAATGACGGTTAATCGAAGTTTTACTTTAAATGGTGCTAGCCTGAAGTTTTCATCGATCGATCCACACTTCATGGGTGAATTGGTTCATAACACGTTAATTCTTCATTTGATGAATCCTCATACCCATATTAAAATTGACAACCAGGTCAGTTCTGTTTTTAATGTATTATAATAAGAACTCCACAGGAATGCACAGCAGAAGTATACCGATCCTCGGTCCTGTTCACTTTTCCAGGCCCATCTACACACTTTTTCAGTCTGTTCCAGGTCAGAGGGGGTGTCACATTGTACTGTTTTCTTCGAAAAGAGTTTCTTGTGTAACCTATGCTATAGGTAGACGTGTTTGAGTTAGGGCAAATTCTAGATGTTCTGAGGTCGTTGAAAGCTGCCTCGTCGTGAAGTATAGAACCCACAACATCGGCGCTGATGAAATATGGGGGCAAGACAACGCGACACCTCCATGACGTAGAACATTCTGAGAAAGTATGAATGAAAGGTCAGCCAGTGTGTAGATGGACCGAGAAACGTGAATTAGACCCAATCCTCAGTAGGTGATCCTCCTTTCAACAATAGTTTTGGCTCGTTTTTCCCCCATACCAGTATTTCTCAACCTGTGGCTCGTGACCCATTTATGGGTCGAACGATCCTTTCACAGGGGTCGACAAAGACCATCGGAAAACACATATTCACTGAAGTTATGAAGTAGCAACTAAAAACAAAGTGTATAACTGGGAGGTTGCCACAACATGAGGAACTATATTAAAGGGTTGCCGCATTAATAAGGTTGAGAACAATTGCCCTAGGCAATCTCCGGGAGCGGGCCGACCTGTGTCATGATTTCCAAGCCTCGGACGTCTCCTGCTGCGTTGATCGGACATTGGGACAAGATGCAATGGTGATTATTTCAACAGGTAACTTGATAGGGGTCGACCCACATGACAACTCGGCTATGCAAGCAAGTCAGCAAATGGGCTACTTCGGCTCCATTTTAGCCATACTGAAAAATGCATGTAAAGAATTCCTTTTACCTGAGTGGCTCATCAGGCCAATGGCGCTAGACATATTTATATAGACCAACCGACACTCAGTGGGTGATATAGTCAACATGACACCGGTCGCCTATGTTTCCCAAGACACCGCCTGGTATCCGGCCATGTAGACCTAGGAGGGAGGTCACTTGTGAAAAGATATCCGACTCGATGCTGACAGGAACTATTGGGCCGGTAGGCGAGCGTCTGGTTCCTATACTACTGCAGCTCCGTGTCAGCCATGTTTACAATCACAAATTAACAATATCTGTAAGATGCACTTCAGATAGATAATGTTCTATGTAGGAGGCTTGATTAATGAAAGAATGACTTTTATAGCTCTTCCTTTTGTTTGTTTATGCTATTTATCATCATCTTGCGATGGGAGAGATGTTGCAACATTACTAGTCACTTTATTTGTTTCGTATTTTTTGCACAGTATTTATTTATTTATGATGTTAAATTATCAAAGCCTAATCTTTTACTTCTGTATATTTTGTTTTCATGTCTTGGTTATTTATTCAAATGCTGCACATTACTATGCTATTTGTATCTCCTCATTTTAGTTTAGTTCAAGCCATGTTCAAGCCATTATTATTCCTTATATTTGATAACATAAATAAATGTTTAGCTAGGTTCAAGTCAACCTGTTATATTATCATCATTTTACAATGTTCACCCTGTAGCAACATTGCATAGAAATATCTATATCAAATAGGAAACTGTCTACAAACTTGATGGCCATTGTCATTTGGTGCGGACTTGAGCAATGAGAACAGTTAATTGTAGATACATTTATTTTATTTTTTTAAATAATAATAACAAAATTTTAAGTAAAAAAGCCATTTTTATTGTGAAAAATAATCATGGTAATGATTGATTTGAAGTAGATTTCATTCACTCCAAAATGTATGCTCTCTGAAAAGAATGTTTCAGTGTGAGCCAGTTCGGCCTTAACGGTGGACATACTGGGTTTTTATCTGAGGGCTTTTTGATTGTAAGGACCAAAGGAGACCAGAGTTTAAGACGTAATTTTATTCGAGTGATTTAGTAGACAGGGTCCGGTGCACTGCTTTGCCAGGGGCCCGGAGCGTGTCCATGCGGCACTGCCTTGACCTGGAGCCAATAAAACGGCACTGCTTTGCCAGGGGCCCATAGCGTGTCCATGCGGCACTGCCTTGACCGAGAGCAGATAAAACGACACTGCTTTGCCAGGGGCCCATAGCGTTTCCAGGCGGCACTGCTTTGACCGAGAGCCGATAAAACGGCACTGCTTTGCCAAGGACCTATAGAGTCTCCAGGTGGCACTGCTTTGACCGGGAGCCGATAAAACGGCACTGCTTTGCCAGGGGCTCATAGTGTGTCCAGGCTCCACTACTTTGATCGGGAGCCGATAAAACGGCACTGCTATGACCGGGAGCCGATAAAACGGCACTGCTATGACCGGGAGCCGATAAAACGGCACTGCTATGACCGGGAGCCGATAAAACGGCACTGCTATGACCGGGAGCCGATAAAACGGCACTGCTATGACCAGGAGCCGATAAAACGGCACTGCTATGACCAGGAGCCGGTAAAACGGCACTGCTTTGCCAGGGGCCCATTGCGTGTCCAGGCGGCACTGCCTTGACCGGGAGCCGATAAGACAGCACTGCTTTGACCGGGAGTCGATAAATTGGCACAGCTTTACCGAAAGAAATGAAGGAAAGGGGGTGACTGAAGAGTGCGGAAGCTTAAATAGGTCATCACAGTCTGAGGAGTGACGAGGGGATCTGGCCGATGCTGGACACTTAAAGGAAAGGTGAGGCTGTTATCAATAAGACCATTACGGGTTCC